TGTTGGTGCTCAATGCTAATTTTGTGCGCTGAATATTTTACATACGTGGCGCCAATAGCTGTAGCTATTCTCCAGTCCCAAAGGACTCCGAATGAGATTGACAGATCTCCTAACACTCTTGATCTTTAGGTTTGTGAAATTCCGAATCCCTAATTCTAAAACTTCACAACGTAATATAGAATGTAATAAAATGTAATTCGTTATAAAAGTGTTGTAAAGCTATTAGGTACTTTTAACAAATCGGAATTTACCGCTTTGATTAATTGTGAATCGGGATTCCAACATACCAAGCGCTTCGTTTGGCAACAAACATGCCTGAATGACTGAACTGAGAAGGACAGTGGAGCATCGATAACTTCTTTATCACAGCGGATTGATGTAGACATAAAAAGAGAGACACGTCTGTAGTGATATCTAAACCGATGAACCTCAAGCTTTACACCTTATATTTGAAATCGTTGGTCTAAATATAAGAGTTCAGTGATGAAAATTTGGAGTTGTCGATCGATTAGTCATTTGAAGATTTAACATTTAGTTAATCAATCTACCGTGTTAAGAAGATGGAACTGGCGTAACGTGATAAAAATAGTATTGGGCATACATCAAAATAAAGCGATCGTCTACTAAGACTGTGCATTCGGAAACAACCTGAACGTCAATCCCATATACACCAACTGTCTCTTGGATGAATACATTGTGAACCGTTCCAGTATACTGTTAGTTGTGATCAACATACAGCACGTGTCTCGAAATTGTGAAGGCCATAGCGAACATTCTTTGGCCTAAGCCCATAAGCTATGGGCCCACGCTTGATTTAAGACGAATTTACGAGGCCACTGCGCTGTTCAAACTTCTATCCACTACTAATCGCAAACGATCCGCTTCTGCTCAAGTTCTTGAGGCGATTAGTGATGTTAGTTGATAACTTGGACAGGTAGTTGTGAAAAGCCACCGACAAACACTGAACCTTCTGGCTGCCATCACGAAGCTAGCTGTCATCTATGTCGTAATGAAACGCGTGTGTTAAGCTTTTTTTAAGGCTTGTAAGTTAGGATGTACCTTGTATAGTTATCAGGTGAATGCAGGTCGACGTGAATGCTATGCTTTCTCAAGTTTCGATGCGCATAGCATAAGACTTGAGCAGGTTTTCAGCACGCCGTCTTTGCCTTAGCACCTAGCTTAACGGGATGGCCAATACATGCATACATGTAGTATCATCTGTATTATTTTTCTTTACTTGCCTAGTTGGCGTTTTTAATTGTGGGCGCTAAAAATTCTCCGTTTGTTCTTGTCATATCCCTCTCTCTAAGCCTATCTCTTTCCTCTGTTCTATTCTGGAAAGGTATCCTCTATCATGTTGAGTTCCTGACGCATATAGAGGAACATAGGGCGCTTGGAAATATATTCCCCGCTCAGATGTCGGAGAGAATTTTTTCCATGAACGTCATTTTCGTCATGTTCGAGAGGAACCTCGCAGTTTAACAGGTGCGACAAGGTGTTGGTTTTACCTGGTTAGTGTTTAATGTTGTAAAATACATGCTAGCTCTACCTTTACTTAAATTTTGTCAAATATTGTTCCAGTTTATTTAAAAATTTAAATTTTAAAAGCACAGAATCGTAAGGCGGAGAGATCTTTTTTTTGGAAAACTTGACAGAGTTGGGATTTGGCGCAGTGATCCAGTTTGTATAATAGTGGGACCTGAGGCGTGTTAAATGTTTTCTCTATAAAAATGTTTTTTCAAAAAAAGAGGACTGGCCATGAAGAGCAACCAACAATTTTTCGAGTGCATGGAGGGATATGTTTGTTTGTTACTTGAGCGTAATCTTGCGAAAATTTTGGTTTTGGTCATCAGTCTTCTTGTTTATCTCTGCACACATTCGCTTTTTCTTTCTAAGTTTAACATACGGTTTGAGTCCAATAAATATAACTATTCAGTGCGTTTATTGATTACATAGGCTTCTTAGAGCTTCGTTTCATCCTGGGCGATAAAAGAAACGCTGTAAAGCGGCTTCCATTGGAAATATTGCATCAGGTAAATATCCTTTCCTTAGCACAAATGTACTGGTCTACAGTGCAGGGATCAGCAGAATATGTACACCAATCGTTGGAAACATTCCCGCAAATGTCAGAGATATTATTATTTTTTTCTTTGATCTCAAAAATGCTGACGTGTAGGTGGATTTCGCCTTCTTCAGAAGTTGTAATGGTCAAGTTGGCTGCAATTTTGTCGTCCAAACACCTCCATAATTAAAGCAGAAAAAAAATGAAGCTAGGATTTTAATTGAATTGTAGGCAAAGTAGTTTCTTCACATACTCGCTGCTTCCTATGAGTTTTTAACTGACAAACATGGAGACCAACTCCGAAGAGTTCACCTTGATGGATAATGCGTCTCTCTCTCCTACATTGAAAAATCAGTGCGAGATATTGTATGAGATTGTTTAACAACGGGGCACTCCTACCTGCGGTTCATTTTTGAGCTCTTGTAAAACCTTCAGAACGCTTCGAAACCTTTGCTCGCTCAAGTTCTTCATTTCTGTGCTAGGATCGCAACTCCTACATCAGATTGTTCTCTATTATGTGTCTCTGTTCTATGCGGGCCTAGTTGTGAATTTTTTTTTGTTAGTGAAGAATAATACAACGAGCTCGCGTTTGCTCATCCAAAAAATGTAAATTATCTGTTCGACGCCATGTTGGTAGAAAATCGGTCTTGGGATTTACTGCAAGCAGTTTTACATTCATACTTTTCTTAAGATTTGTTTAGATTGTTCAGCTAACTTTTCTTAATAGCCGATTTTCACTTAACGTCGCCATGAGGAATCAACATATTTCTGTACATTGTTCAAAACTGAATGTTTGGCACCGTATCTTGTCCAGACTTGAAATGCCTATTCGTAGCTTTCCTTTTTTGTGTAGTTTTTTACTTTTGCTTTGGACCTCGACGATTTCATAGCTGAAACAAAACTATAGATAACGATTTCGTTTCCAGCAAAATTCTTTCCTAATGCAGCGGTAACAGCAAGCATTAATTTCTCATACATCATACTTCCTTTCTACCAATCGCACTAGATAATAGAAGTTTTTGATGAGTTCTTTAACCAAGAATTCTTGAATGATCACTGCTGAAATTCTGACAGTGAAATCCAAACCATAACTTGGACTTTAACGGTTTTTTACTAAATTGTCTTCCTGTTAATAGACTTTTTCACCGTTTTATATTTGAACAGTCGATGACAAATTTATCCTTCAATTTTTGAGCAGCATGTAGAAGACAAGGAATATTTTCACTTTCATTCAAATTAATGCAAATCATGCTAAATGAGGGTCTAAGATGGAGGAAGAGAGCGATGTTAGATTTTCGTCTATGCACTGGAGGATGATGGAAGAGCGACGTGGGCGTGCCAAGCCTGTCATATCATCAGCTATCAACTGCATTAAACTATCAGCATTGTTGGCCTGTCTGCCGGCCGTTCACCACATCACTGTAACTAGAGGTACATTCCTCACAAATCCACTATTTAACTTGCGCTGAAATATACAAAGTTGTCTGAATTCTCGCCTTTGTCTCTATTACACTTTATGGTTTTGTTCCCTTTTATACACCCACATTACCACCTTAATATGTCATTCACACTAGGAAACTGTCGTCCATCTTAACTGTCTTGTTGACTGCATCAAGTTTCGCCTTCTGCAATGTTGGCCCAGGATGAAATGGATTATTTACCTCGCGGCCTAGCCCAGCATCCGGCAGTTCAACGACGGTCGTCCGTTTTTCATGACTTGATTACTGTATTCCGCAAGAATACGATAGCAAGAATTGGCCGTCCGACGTCAGATCCCCACAAATATAGTCCAGAGAATATTTTTGTCGGAAAGGATGACGAAGTGTAAGGCGTAATTTATATTTGCCACTTTGGTCGTTTGTAAAAAAGGTGCTGATGATGTCGGTTCTCATCAAGTGGAAACATTTATGAAATTTTGATGTTCATGGTGAAAACAAAATACTTTCTTTGGTTCATGTAAAATTGAGGATGCACGATGATATTAGGTGGTGTTTCATAACAGTTCACATGTCATAGTCAGATGCTCATGCATGTGACTTTCGTGTAACTTAACCAGCTTACTTTGTTAAACACTCATAGTATAATTGGAACTTAAATTCTTAACTGTAGCGAGAGATGCGTCACTGGACACTCGCTTTTCTTCCTCACTGTTTCTCAAGTTGAATGACAAAGAGCACAATACTCACTCGAGTGTTACTCTTGTACTAATTCGTAGTAAATCAATAATGGAGCACATGGTGACAAAGAGGGTCAATACCGAGGTGTTTTTCATTATAGGAGGCGTAAAAAGTGTTGTGTTAATGAGACCACTTTACGTTTTACACCGAATTGCAATCATCATCGTTTAACAGCAGCTGGATCATTTACAACCCATGCTCTGTGTTTTCTTCGGAATGTTTCATGGTGAACGATCTGCATGCTTAGTCAAACACCATTAAAGAGCTTGTTGGACTTTCTATAGAGAAAAATAGTTGTTCCAAATATTGCAGCTGCTCTTTATTCACAAGAAAAATCTGTTGCCATGTAAAGAATGGGAGTTACACAAATCCTTACTTGACACGCCTTCGAAACCTCTCTGCCTCAAACAAGCACGTGTCCGTAACAAGGAAAATCTTATATGCATAGCACATTAACGTTGCAAACGTTCGAAATTGTGTGTAGAAATATAGAAAGAACTAACATAATTTGATTTTTCAACAAAATCTCTTAAATTGGAACAGTTTTTCCAGACTGAAAGGAATAGAGATAATCTGAAGTGAACTCTTGTTTTTCCACTAGAATCCATTACTCTTTTCGATATAAAGTTTTTCCTAAGTTTCTTCCTTTGCAGATATATTTAGATACCTCGCTAAATTTTGCAAAGGAACTGTTGGTAAGTTCTTCTGTCGTTTGAGACGGATCGATGACAAATCATCATTCCATTAATTAACACAATTTGATGGATATAAAGTACGATTCTCAACAAATAGACTTGTACACTAAGCTTTACGGGAGAACAGGAATACTTGTGCAGCGACTTTTGTTCACAAGAACCATAATGAAAATAGTGGTTATAATCAAAAGCTTCGCTTCCAGCGAAAGCGACGCATTCCTGGGTAGGTCAGATAACAAGGACGAAGCTGACGAAGACGGTAAACCTCTGACTAGGCAGGTGAGGCTTATGAAGATATGTTCACTCATGGAAGATCACATTTAGTGGTTTTAACTAAAATTTTTTTAAACTATTATTAAACTACTCAACTGCCTCAATCTTCTCCCTCTTTAACATAAATAATCACCCAAATACACTAGATTGTTATTTATTCTCAACAAATTCGACAGCGAAATCCACTTCCTGAAGAAGATCCAACCATTTTCGCAAAATCACATCCTTCCAATATGATAGTGCTTTGGATCCTCGTAGGGCAGACTTTATCAAAAAATTAATGTGATTGGGAAATGAAACTCAATGAGCCCTAAACACCTGCATTCACTTAGCGAAGCTATATAAGTTTTTTGGGTTTTGAAAATGTAATGTCTTTTCTATATTTGCTAAGGCTTCTAGTATGACTTGCAGCCTTTCAATATGAAAAATAGGCAGTCGCAAGAGAAACGAGAGGGCACTCATATTTCCTACTAGTCAGCGCGGTGTTGAATTTTGTGACTTGATGTCCCTGAAGAGCTCAAAAATTTCTATTACTATTTTTTACAGAAACTTTGCTTTATGTTATTAGTTGTACCTAATTTTACTGAAGTAGGGGGAGCGTTCACCATACTCGCCTTTGATTTGGTGATTTATTAAAATAGGAAAATAAAAGAGACCTTATTACGAGTGCGTTGCAAGTATTTGAAGACCATATACCTTGAAAACGTCAGTTGAAGCATTCCAGTTCTCTTCATATTTCTGAAATCGCTTTTGATTAGGCTCTTTTGGAAAGAATTCGGCAAAAGAAAGAAGTCATCGGGAAGCTTCGATGTCAACCATGGAGTATGTCACGGAAAAAGCGGACGCTCAAGCAAGTTTCCATATTCTATCTATTTTTATGTTCAATTTGCTAACCAAAGGTGCACGGCGGTTTTTTAAACTCAATAATGGAAAGCTTTCCAGACTTGCCCAGAAGTACTTAGAGCAACACGAGTCTCGAGTGTCAAGAACACACCTATATATGGAAGAATTTCGAAAGCGTATTCGTCTGATGAAGCGAAGTTTTTCGAACTTCAAGACATATTTGATACCATGGGAGGGCAAGATTAAGCGTATCGAGAGTGCGTTTTTCTTCTTTCTATTCTACAAATGTCAAAGTAATTTCTTCACCACCGCAACCCAGCGATCCGCGCACGCTTTATGAGTCCCTAGAGAAAGCAACGTTCGGCGCAATGAAAACTCTCACCGAAAACCACCAAAAAACGGATTTATTCCTTTAAAGCCGTTTGTTATTGTAATCTGATGTCGCTACAATTTCTGATCCATCAAAGCAACTTTTCAGCAGTAGATGCGATCCAATCGGGATGTCGTACAGTATGAAAGTGTTGGAATTTATACTTCGTAATTAAGGTCATTTTGGTTCGGTCGTGTCGTCATACTTTACGTTTCTACGCTGGATAGTCTTTGTAAACGTGATCATGACACTAATCATTGTTGCCCTTGTTGTGTTACCCGAAGTAAGTGCACATTCTACTATCGTAGTTACCATCGTCCTAAAACGACAGCGCTTTGGGGACAATCACTGACTAATCATTTCTACTTTTTCAGACGCTAGCCGATGCCGCGGCCGATGAAGCACGACGAAATCGAACGGATTCACGCAAGGAGATTCCACCAAATGAACGCGTTCATGCCGATGAGATAGCCGTAGTCTGGCATTACGACGTGAGCAATTAGAAACAATTTTACTTCTCTCTACAACTTTAAGAAAAAGAAGGACAGTGGAATGCCTTAGTTCTGATGGTTCTTACCGTGTGATTATAAAAATGTCCGAGGAGACCTTTATGCGGTGGTCTACCTTGTAAACGGCGATATACTTCGTTGCTACTACATTGATCAACAAACATACTGTAATCCAACAATATAATTTATATAATTTATTAATCTATACATAGTTTTATCGAGGTTTTTGGGATTTTCCATACTAGTGGCCCAATTGCTCAAAATCGGAATCATTATTAAACACACAGCCTGTTCCTAAAGGACAGTAATAGTTTTTCTGGTAATACCATAGAACTTACTTAGGACACTCTTTCCTTATATCCTCAATGTTATAAAGCATTTTGAGTTACTTGTACGATTTTTCTTGTATTATATCGGTTACCATATTCACTGTTATATTAAAATGGTATTCATTATATTAATATTAATGTAACTTTCTTTTCAATGACAGCGCACTTTTTTCAGGGTTACTTGAGATACTCACCGTTATTCTATGGGTACTATTCCGACGACGATTTTTTAGGAGAAAAATACCCGCTTCCATTGGCATATTTTCTCGTCACAATTTTCATTTTTGCCTATAGCTTTTTCGCCATTCTTAAAAAGTAAGTTGAAATATTCTTACTGCTGTTCAAGGCTTTAGAACTGTGGGCTTCTGTAATTTCTTCACGTTGTCTCGTTAATTATTCATCGGAAAGATGGAAGCATTAAAAAGTGAATGAGCTGGAAGGCATCAATTCATGGACATTTTCCGCATATGATCTTCCTTACAAAAGTGAAAAGAAAGAAAGAAACAAAGAAGAAATAAAAAACATTGTGATTTTAACTATAGCCTCAGCTTAACTGGGTTCATTGTCGATTTGGGCTACCCAGTTCAGTCTCGCAGACGGATGTTTGCTGATGGCGCTGATCGATAAAACTAGCTGAGAGACAGGCGATACGAAGTGTATGCATGCATGGTTTAGGTGGTGAACGCGCTAGGCCCCTGAAATGGTAACAACGCGTTCGTACCCTACCGCAGACACCTGCGGTCTGGAGTTTTGCAAATATCTCAGCATTATAGAAGCTATATTTCGCAGCATACCCTGCCCCCAAAAAGAATAGGCAGCAAATAAAAAGTAAAACAAAGGAATTATCGTTCTTTTTTTTTTATTAAAATCCTATCTTCTTTACCACTTTCATCTTCGAAAATTAGAAGGGCACTCAATAGGAATAATTTCGAGAAAATCCACTGTAGTATTTTGAGAGATTGCTTGGTGACTTGCTCTTTCGTAGCCTTAATATTGCACAGTAGCACTCTTATAAATTAATTTTTTGTTTATTATTCTTTTTTACGAACTATTTTTGTTGCTATTATTCTATGTAATTATTCACAATCGATTAGTTTTCATTATAGAGGGACTCCTACTTTGATAGAAGTTACTCATGGCTCTTTTAGCTTATGCTATAAGTGCAGTCATTTTTTCATATTTTCGTAGGAAACATTTTTAAGCCATATATGCTTAAAATGTGACAGCTAGTGCAGCAAGAAATCGGCAGCACACTGTTCTCTGATTGCAAGGTTAACGAACAACCCAATTAAGCCAATGATGGCTTAATGTTTTTCATTTTTTAGCTAGCCAACTCATAGTGATCACACTTGATTATCCGAAAAAGCTCGGCATCGCTACAAAAATGTTTAGAATGGCTGCGAACGCTCGTATGTCGAAGTTATCGGGCAGTAAAGCAGAGCAATACATTTTCAACTGGCGTGTGTTCACCGGGTGGGATTATACGATCGGAAATCAAGAGACAGCTACTAATACTGTAATGGCTATCGTCATAAAACTAAGAGTAAGATACAATTCCATTTTTCGCTTATTGTTTTTTCGCCACAGTATTGCTTTTCGTTTCAAGTTTACTTTTTGTCATTTAGTCTCTGTTCGTTTTTGTGCACCAGTGCTGGTTTTCTCCTTCACTAAGAGGATTTCTAGGCGTATAAATGTCGATAAAATTCTTTATCCGTACTTCTTTAAAATCCGCGCCATCACATCTTTTTCATAAGATTGCAGCTTAATAGACTTTGAGTGAACATCTTGTTGATAGAACTTGGTCGAAAATAGGCAAAATGGGCAGTGCAGCAAATATAGCCGAAAGACAATATCGATTATTTATGCATGAAAAATATAGCCGCTTTTTATTACTTTTCATACGTTGTGCTTGAAGGAGTCAATAGCTGATTGTCGAGTCTCGGAAGAGTCGAAATTTCGGTGTCTACAGTTCACGTTACGAGTATCAGCCAACATTATCATTTGTGCGATGCTCGCTTTTTCCATATACTGTATTTCATTTGCTGTGCAAAAATCACAAACAGCTGTTGAACAAGAGGGCAATCTGTTCACTAAAAATCAGGTGATTTTTCTAGCAGTTATTTCTCCTCGGTTCCTTTAACTCTCCGTTTGTTTTCAAATTTATTTCATTGTTGCTTCTTTTTCGTTTCTTTTCTCTCTTCTTAGGGTTCTTGGTGAATTCCTATCTTAGGTACCATCGGTAGTCGCTACGATTACTCATGTATTTCCGATGATTTTCGACTTAATTGGTCGACTGGAGAACTATCACCCACGTACAGCTTTGCGGGCACATCTTACTAGGTAAACTCAAGTTCTGCCTACAGTTCGTAGCGGAATAGATTGTAGATATAGTATACCAGGAAACAAAAAGATCAGCATTTATAAGAGCCTAATTATTGTAATGAGAGCAAATGAATGTATGAACCGATAACGTTGACATACGAGTTCAATGCTACATGAGATAACGTAACAACACTAACAGAGCAACGTTTGTTGACGTGAAGTAGGTAGCGTTTGATTTCACATACTGACCTTTCGAAGTTTAAGAGCAGCTATTTTTTAACTTTATTCAAAATTATCATATTCACTTTAAACAACCATTGTATGAAACTTCGCACATAGCGTAAGGAGTCACCGCAACCTCTTTGTGTGATCATATGCTGGTTTGAATTTAGTGGTGAACAATGCGGTAACTTTTCATTGCATCATAACCGACCGTGTCTTTTAGAATGTAACAAGGAACAAATTCTTTGAAATATGGATGCAAGGTTACCTTTCTCCGGTTACATTATAAGACTTTAGATTTGTCATAACAGAGCAATGGTGCAGTTCGCAGGATCGAGTTTCTATTAAACTCGGCATTGGAATATGAATGTGTCGTTTTCTTGTTCAGCAATCGCGAGGATGTTATACAGCATACATTTACTTCCAAAGAAAAGTAGAATACAATACAACAGTAGCTGACGTTTCGGCAGTATCGTCTTCTTCAAAGCCTGAAGGATATACCGATGCACAATTTATTAGGCCAAACACTTCAATAACACTTACAAAAGGACAAGAAACGTTATGGCAATTACATGATCAACAGTTTCTCGAAACACTCACCGCTTTTTTCGCGACTTTCAATGAAGAAGGTTAGAACATCTGGTTATAGTCGCTGATTATAGTCGTTATAGTAGTTGATGACTGAAAAATGGATATCGATAGAGTCATCAACCATTTGGGACTATAATCAGCTGTTCTAATCTTCTTCATTGAAAGTCACGAAAAAAGTGGAACTGAAGAAGGCGATACTGTCGAAGCGTCAGCTAATTGTATTGTGTTTTTCTGTGGAAGTAAATGTTTGCTGTATAACAACCTCGTGATTGCTGAACAAGAGAAATGTTATTTTCAAAACCGACTTTCTATGTTAACTTCGGCTTTGGTCAAATAAGTCACTGTTTTTTTCGACAAGCACACACGACGTTGTCATTACAACATTTACTAATACAGAATAGCTGCCATTTCTGCGGTTTCGCTTTCTTCAGAGCCTGGAGTGGTCAAAATGACACACAAATCTACTCAGCCGTATGCGTTCGTAACCTCAGCAGAAAACACGGTAGACAAGTTTTTATTGGCATAGTAAGCAGTTTCTCTTCAACATTCACTATTTTATCCTTTTTAAATCTCGTAGTTGTTTGATAGAGACCGGTAACACAAAATCTCGAATGAGTCATGAATTTGCGTAGTTCAGTGGAAGAAAACTCAGCCTGAGGCATAGCGCGAGGTGACTCTTGGTCGCAGGACACTCTTTCTTGCGATTCATTTTCTGAATATTTGGAATTTATCCGAAGCACTTGAAGAGTTTCACGCACTAATCTTTCAGATTCATGTGCGAGGGTATTGACTTTTACTTCAAAATCCCCTCTGTTATGTCATTCTTGACCCATGCAAGACTCTGTCAGGATGATTTCCATTAAAGAACTGGAAGACTTGAAAAGAACAAAGCAATGAATTTTTAAGAGAAGGCGTTTACTATGCTAATAAAAATTTACGTACGAAATTACTGTTGAGATTATGGAAGCGTTTGACTGAGCGAATTGCCGATCAACCTTACCTTTCCAGGCTCTGAATGAGCCGAAGCTATAGAGACGTCAACTAGTAAATTTCTATCGAGAAAACAGTGGATTATTAGAGCAATGACGTGTTCTAAAAATGAGTTAAACGGTTGTAGAAATTCGAGCGTGATAAAAAAGACGAGAACATCATTTGATCGGTTAGATTTATCACTTATTATTTGTACTTAATAGTATGCTCTGTTACAAGATAGTGAATACTTATCCGACTGATGTAGGACGGAATATCAACAACGAACCAAATAATTTCGGTTTGCAATCGACCAGGAACGTCGTGTATCCTGGGGAACGGCCGAATGAGGTCAGGTCACAGTCACAGTGCGGTTACACACATTCCTGAAGAGAAGACAGTATTGGGTAACGCTACTTCATTCGTACTATAATCTCCTCGATACGACCGGATGCAAAAACAGCGAAGACGTTCATCGCAAGAAGAAGCAACCTGTGTGGACACTGGACTAGAATTATCGTGGGCTCTGATGAAGGCAAAACTGCTGAAATGTAGGCCTCAATAAAAATATGGAACAATCTCTAGCCATCTAATCAATAAATCAAAACATCTACTTTCCATGCGAAGGTTCAATGAAAGTTAGGATTCAGAATATCTCTCGGAATTCAATAGTTTTATTTCAGAGTATTGGTTTTGTACGTATTGAATTATCTAACCTTGATAGTTGCACTATTCGATAAAATGGATGCGATTAGGAAAAAAGACCCAGCTGATGGTTTCTCCTCAGTAAAGAAGCGTCAACTTGGTGGAAGAAACCCAGTAAGTGATTTTGAACTGCCCTAAGGTAGGTAAGATTTCTCAATGACGAGAAAGATGTCTTAGTCTGCATTCCTATAAGCTACTGAAGCTCACTTACTGCAAGAAGTGACAATGTAATCTCTTTATATTTACTATCTACTCTTTTTTCATGTTTTCATGAGCTATGTTAATGAGAAGAGAGCTTTTTACTCTTCCACACCATGATCCATAGTTCTTGTAGAATTTACCTCGACCGCCACCGTACGCTAGTCGCACGTTCGAGAATCGAGCTGATTTGTTACGTTTTATCGAGATAAGTACGAGACGCTTCGATCAGAATCGCTCAATTAAGACCGCATCCACGGCTCCGTTTACTGTACGTCTTCTGATCGATAATAGATTTTCCTAGAAATCTCCAATCATAATATTTCGTTAAGGTGATGTCGCAATACGGCCCGGTCAATGTGAACAATCCAAATGTTATTCTTCGTAACGGGACACTAAAAAAGAAGTTCGAAGCGAAACGAATAGGACCAAATCCCTTACCCATCTATACACCTCCACCCCGCACATTTCCACCACACGAGCCTGGTAAAGTTATTGAGGTAAGAAAATAGTATGAAGCTATGCCAGAAATGTTGAACTGAAATTATTACGAGTTTTCATTAGGTAAAGTTGTTCGCTTAGCTTCTTTTTTACAGCCTGGGAAGTCGGAAGCTTTAGGTGATCATCCTAATTACTAATTCTCTGTAATTAAATAAGTTGATACCAACTTTTTAGTTATGAAGTCGTATTTTTGTTTTCTAATGAGTTTTTCCCATTCGAATACATTGAAATGAATGAACGTAATAAACTTGGCGTATCAAGTGTGACGATTAAAATCTACCAGTATTCTTAGGAAGGACCGTACATATTGAAGCACAGAAGAAAAGAAATTAACTAGAGGTTGTATTCAGTGACTACAAAAAAATATGAAATAAGAGGTCGAATAAATTTCAAAATTCACCCTATAAGAAGTGAACTCAAAACGTTGTAAATAGAAATCATAGCAAATGATCCAACGGCAGTCCAGTAATATAATTCTCTTTAATAACGATCTAAGCAGCTTGGAGAAAAATTCTCCATAAATCGTTCTAGGTCGACACCATAATGGAGCTAGTCGGTGTTATCGATTGTCTAGAGCCTTCGGAGACCACATTTCGTGTTGATCGCTACTGTATAACAAAAGCGCATATAGCGTAGTTTGAGGTACCCTGCAATACGCACATAGTCTTTGGTTCGATCCAACTCTCTAGGTTCATAAAACTTTGTATCTCTCTGGAATCAGGCTTCTGTTCTCCAAAACCACATATCCTATCACATGCTGTTATCATATCATATAGACTAACTGATACCGGAACCATAATGTTATAAGTGCCGTGCAATTGTTGTTCGTTCGACTGCGACGGTGCCAGGAATGCCCTCCCTTCCGCGAAATTGATTGCAGACATGTTCAGGGAAAGCTATCTCCGACCCAAGATATCCAGCCACTGCTCAAGTCGACAAGCATTTAACGACATTAATGAGGTAGAAGAAATATTCAAGCTGTACCTGAGCCAACGCATAACATTCGAACATCTTCGTGCGTGACAGATGCAGTACAACGATACGAGTAGAAGGAATGCTAGGATACGCACAATATGACATAATCGGTTATATTACGAAATATACAAAGAATAAAGAATAAAGTTCTCGGCGTTGCTCAATCCCTGAGGGATGTGCCATGCATTCGACTCCATTAAGCATCGTTTGCAGATGATTGAATGCATATCCGGCCTTTACAATGACTTGTGATGGCCTACCGATGTATTGAGTCAGTGTTGCCATCCTCCCAGACAAGTCTGGTAGCAATTTGCCGACCGCGAAGGGATGGAGGGGTTAGTGGGCGGGCCACGAGCGAGGGGATCGATTCCACGTGCGTTGCCTCCCACCACTGCACCATACGCGCGTCCATTACGAAAAATTATTAAATAAGGCTTCATAGGTTGATTCTGTAACAGCTAGCGATTTCCAGTAGGATTACCACAACAACCGATGTGTTATTTATGTTTGAAAAGTATTTACAACATGGGAATATAAAATTTTCCATCAAATAGAGAGTAAACTGTAAAAAGGCAGAGTTTTATAGAAATTCGGTGGGCCTGATTATCGTCCAATTCGCATATATCCAAAGCCAGCAACCACATCTCGTCCTCGAGTAACACGACCACCTCCAGCTCGTAAAATGTTGACGGATGACGAAAACCCGAAAAACGTGAGTAACTCATTCGATTACGTTTTCACTCATTCTTCCATTCTATTTACTGCTGTTCTCGTATGCTATAGTGATTATCATAGTTATTATAATTAACTTCACATGCTTATTCAGAGGGTTCGTGTAGCACAGTGGTTGGAGTTGCCCTGCCATACATAGGCGGTTGTTAGCTCGACCACGCTCCAGACTTAGTAAGCCCTCCATCTATCCGGGATCGGAAACCTGGTAGCAGACTTGTTTGGAAGGATAGCAGCACCGATTTGATACATCGGCAGGCCAACTGAATTCGTTGTATAGGCCAGATATGCATTTAATCATCTCTAACGTTGCTGTGTGATGTCGAATGCATGGCGAATCCATCAGGGTGTGATCAACACCGAACTATCACTTTATTTTTTTTTGCTCTTTCAGATTCACTATGAAGCTAATGTAAAAAGAATTTAGACAAAAACTCCGAAATAATATAACTCGGTTCAAATGCCATTGCAAGGGTAGAGTATAATGTGCTCAGCATTGTTCAACTCCTGAGGAATGCGCCATGCATTCGACACCATTCGTAGTATCATAGATGCGATTGAATACATATCTGACCTATATACTAACTCGCGACAACTTATCCATGTATAATGCAAGTATTGATATCCCCTCAGGCAAGTCCAGTAACAATTTTCCCTCTCTCAAGGGACAAAGAGCTTTCCTAGTGTGCGGCGCGGAGCGCGAGATCGTACCAGAAACCGTGTGCATCGCAAAGGGCAATTTGAGTAGTGAAAAACAACCTCTCATCTTAAGTGTCAGCATGTTCCTTGTGAGGTATAGGTTTCTTTGTTGTTAAAAAGGTAAAAATTGCTGAAGGACAGTTAAATTAATATTTGAAATATTATTTGGCATTAAAATAATCAGCAAATATTTAGTACAAAATTCTTTTACAATGTTCGTACATGCAAGACGCGCCGTTAGTTTTATATCATCATAATATTTTTAATAGTTTACGTATAGCGACTATCTAATTTTTAGTCCGATCCTTCCAGCGACATAGTACCACCATCTCATGGCAAGCAATTCGAAACCAATATGGACCATCTTCAATCTAACGGTAATTCGTTCATTTTATCAATTTGATTGAAGAGAAACATCGCCAATATAAGGATAAAGCTCTCAGCGTTGGTCAATCCTTGAGAGATGCGCCATGCATTCGATTTCACTAAGCATCGTTTGGAGGTGATTGAAGGCCTATCAGACTTTTACAATGACTCGCGGTGGCCTACTGATGTATCGAACCAGCGCTACTATCCTCCCGGACAAGTCTGATACTAATTCGTTGAACCCGAAAGGATGGACGGATGGATGGAGTTGGGCGCAGGATCGATCCCATGTGTATTGCGGGACACCTCTGACCACTACGCCACAAGCGCTCAAATATAGGGTGTTAAATGGTGTATCATGTTAGGCCAGTGATGTATCAAGTAAGGTTTTCCATTCTACCAGATAAGCCTAGGGTCAATTGTCCGACCCGGCGGGATCAGAGGCTTGGTTTGTCCAGGGCTTGGCATCGAGCAAACGACCCTTCTGTCAACACAGGGCACCTGTAGCCACATATCCGCTTCACCCGCATTTGCACATATTCCCATTATATTCTGTCCTTCATTTATCATAGATATGTCTCGGCCTAACACCAACCGTAATGCTTTTCCCACCTTGTGCAAACAAAAGCACGCTTTCATGATTAACATTGTTGTGAATTATCTTGGTACATTTTTTAAACTCATATTCAAAGTTTTCTATTCTAACTGGAAAAAAATCACAACACTTTAGAGCGGAGATACTTTTTTTCTTCAAAAGAGTTTTATTTATTATTATAAAAAGGGATAAAGCTTTAGGCGTTAGTCAATCCTTTAAGGATGTGCTATGCGTTCGACTTCATTAAGCAGATTGGAGGTGATTGAATGCATGTCTGGCCTTTATAATGACTCGTGGTGTTCTACCGATGTGTCGAGTCACTGCTGTTATCTTCCCGCACAAGTTTCGTATCAATTTGTTGAACACGAACAGATGGAGGGTTGGAAGGCCTTGAGCGCAGGATCGTTCTTGTGTGTATTGCCGGAGGCCTACGACCACTGCGCCACACACGCTTTTTTTTAATAATATAATATCTAAAAATAAGTTCGTTGAATCACCTTTTGTGTAGCGCTGTGAGCGGGTGACAGTGATTGTTGGGCAACAATATGAAGAGGGAACTTTAACACGTTCACTTCTGCTAGCCAGTAATTTAGAGACTATTCGAGTACCACCAGCAGCTGGGCGAAAAAGTATCGCCGATGAGGTTTACAATACGGAAATTTGTTGGGAAACGATTATTGGTCAGGTAAGTTCCATGAATAGCCATTATTGGTGAAAATCGTCTTGTTGTATCATTTATGTGCAACCTAAAACGTAAAGCGAAGTGAAATGTTCACTTTTTTCGCCAGGAAATCGTCAAATTGGTCACAATGGATCTTATTGTAACGATTGTATCGATTCTTATTATCGATTTTCTTCGTGGACTCTGGATCAAATACTGCTCATCGTGGTGGTGTTGGGATATTGAGACGACGTTTGTGAGTATCTACAACAATGCACGATTGTTTTTGCGTTCTTTAAAGAGTCTTCCACTTTGAAAACCGCCTAATCGATAACTTTCTAAGACGATTTAAAATGATAGGAGATGAACAGAACGGACAAGTTGGGAACTAGGTCCATTTCACAGAAGACTGCTTACAATAGAAAAGGCTAGGAGAAAAATGAAATCTTTTAAAGAAAGCCAGTTATCAGGTCTAGATATCGAATTGGAATCTAGGTATAATTCGCTTCATACAAGTGTAATGTAAACGTTATCAATATTTTTTATACAAACGGATAGCATATCGAAATTTTCTTGCTACTTCGGAGTCAAATTGGCAGCAAACGTGATTGATAAGGCTCTTTTGTATTCAGCTGAGGATGGCCTGTGGCTTCAAGGGTTTCTTCATTGTGAAATCCTCTAAAGAAGCTCAAAACGCCAAGCATAAGGCTAGCTAATAAACTTACTTGGACACTTGGGCAGCCCGTTCTCACTGAATAGCACAATCTCCATTTCTTCAGTGTTTCGCTGGTTTAGCCGTTGTGGTTCTCTGAGTCCTGAGGTGAGCCAAGCTAAAGTCTGCCCTAGGTCGTCATCACCCCAGGCAGACGTCGCCCTCGTGGATTACAGGGAGATTTGACACCAAGCGGCTAGTTAGATACCAGGGCAGTAGTGGTTCCTGGTATTAATTTAAAGTAAATAAAGGTGTACAACAATCTTAATCAACTGTTTCAAGAAAAAAAATTATTGATCTCATTGAAACGGATTCAATTTATTTTCGTCGTTTTCAGCCCGAATACGGCGAATTCAAAGTGGCTGAGAATGTCTTGCACATCATCAACAATCAAGGAATGATATGGCTTGGTTTATTCTTCGCTCCCCTCTTACCAGCATTGAATAATGTTAAACTGATTATAATTATGTATATTCGCGGATGGGCTGTGATGACATGTAACGTGCCAGCTCGAGAAATTTTTCGCGTTAGCCGGTGAGTGATACAGAGATTTCTTGATTTTCTCTTAGTTTCTGAAGCATGACATTTTCGTAATTTCTCATTTTCTTTAGGAAACCGAAGCGGTTTCATTGTGAGTAGATTTGCTCTTATCTGCAATAATTCCTAAATGTTCGACAAAATCAGAGAATCTGAAGATTCCTCATTAGGCCAAATGAACGAATTCTTTTTCTACGGTTCTATAAGTGATGGAGAGATGATATATACTGATAACGTACATCTCTACATGGTGTTTTGAAATAGCTGTACTATATCTTAGCTAGGTTATGGCTAGATGTAGTCTTTTTCCAATCATCATCGGACCAGGATATCACCAGTTTTCGACTAGGTTGCTACCAGGTTGAAGATGATCTCTGGTAAATGTTTAGGCTTAGTCGACCATCTGAGCAAAGATGTAGAACCTTTTATCAGCTTGGGAGATCGTGGTTAAACACTGAGTTGTTCCACACCAATAAGTATTCACCAGCAATGTTGGTCTCGATATGGACACTAATGGTACAGTGGTTAAAGATATCCTGTAATATACATATAAACATTCCTTCGATCCCTTGCTTCGTGCAAGCAGTTTCCTCCATCTTTCCGGGATCGGAAAAGTTACAAGGCTTGACTGGAAGTGTAGAAACACTGACTTGATACATCGCTAGGTCCTCGCAAATTTATAGGCCAAATATAGATCTAATCATTCATTCTTAATGGATTCAAATTCATGGCGCTTTGTTACAGTATCCAGCAACGCGCTAGCATTTACCCATTAACGCTTTTACTAAAGAAAATAGCTGGAATATTTTGAGGGAACAATGCTTTACCAATATATTAAAAGGCGTTCTTCATGTGTTGTTTGCAAATGCATATATTCGTTTAAAAATTACAAGTACGTAAAATACTTTTTGATGTTAGCACATCGAAATTCGGGTTTCATATTGCTCATCGGTGATAACGTCTTTCTTAACACTTTTCACTTTCAGATCGAGTAACTTCTACTTGTTAATTCTACTACTGTGGTTACTCCTTTGTACCCTACCGGTTGGTTTTGTGATAGCATCGACAAGACCGTCGAGAAAATGTGGTCCATTTGCGTAAGTTTTCTTGAGCCCACACATTTTTTTACTCTTTTGTGATTCTAATTTTTGAGTTTCTCTCTGGAATATCCTACTATGATGACCATAATGGTTTTTTTTTCTACAAAGTTCCACATGGTATGTTCTCTACAAGATTTTCTATTCGACTTTGAGTGATTTTCAGGCAACACGATCATTTTTACACAGTTATCACAAAGGAGATTGAAAAACGAGTGGATCCATTCATTCTTGGTTATATAAGACATGTCGCATCACCAGGTGTTGTAATACCAATTTTACTATTCCTCATGTAAGTAAGAAATACAATTGTTTATTGATTATAGTGATGCTGAGATATTTGCAAAACTCCGGACCGCTGGTGTCTGCGATGGGGGCTAAAGTGGTGCCGTGGTGAACACGTTAATCCCCGGAAAGGGTAATGGTGTGTTCGGTTTCCACGGTCCTCACCGCAGACATTTGCGGTCCGGAGTTTTGCAAATATCTCAGCATTGTTGTGCTTATATTTCACATCATAACCCGCCATTAAAAAAGAGTAGGCAGTAAATAAAATATGAAGACACTGTAGTCTATTAGTTGATTCAAATTTCCCAGTTCGTTATAAAAAGCACGTGATTTTTCGACAACATTGGTATTTTTATCTAGTAACCCTGAAGAACGTTTTGAGTTTAAACTCCTTGGTTGTGAAATAATTGTTGTGTTAAATAGTTTATATCAATAGTCCAAATTGGATCTCGTTCACATGTTCGAATAAGGCATCTAAGAAGGAGACAATAGGGATTAATTTAAGATGGAAGAACTAGAAAATCGTAAAATGATAAGGTACTGAAATACTTCTGTGGAAAGTTCGTCAAACTGTAAGTGGTCATACCTTTCGAATTTTCTTCTTCTAGGTTGATCATCTACTTCTTGGTATCATTGGTAAGAGGATTACGTGAAGCTAACACAGACCTTCAACAGCAGTTGATTCATGTGAGTTATCTATACTTTACTCAAAATAGGCTACACTACGAAACCATTGAAAGGTCTCGAAATCAATTCACTTTTTCGTGAACTTTGGTATTACATTAGTGCATTGTTTTTATAAATCATATTCTTTCTGATATGTGAATTGCTTTGGTTGAAAATCAGCTCTTTCCAATTCGCTCCTATTGATGCTTGATGGTTGTTTTCTATGTCATCTTGTTTTATATCCATTGAATTTTCCATAATAATGAAGGGAATTCACTTTTAATGCGTTCAACCTTTGCTTCTCGTTTTCCCTCTTTGTTGAAATACTTTCCACCTATATTTTGCGGTTTTACTGCCGCGTTTGATTGTGTAGAACTAAGATTTCCGTTTGTGAAAGAAATTTCGGAAAATTGTATCCTTCTTCAGCTTTTGTTTATGATCGTTTCCCACGTTATTCTTTAAATTTCTCATTCTAATTGAGCCATTTAAGGAACGTACCGAGGAAAAGAAGAAGATATTCGAGTTAGCTGGTGGTAAGAAGAAGGTGGATCAGGAGAGAGATCGTGACCCTAGAAGGAGTGTACCTTATCTACCACTAGTCGAACAGCAGAGGCGAGAACAGTGGCGACCGTATACTGAGGTTCCGAATTTCTTATGGTATTACCTAATTTTGTGGTAGGAGGATTCACTCTTTGAAGCAAGAAATGGCTTTTGTACGCTTATTTGAGTGGCCAGTACTGCAAGATTTCGATTTTGCGAAAAGAATTTTATACGGAATCAAAATGCATATCTTAGGCTTTTTCCCTCTGGTGCTTTAATTTGGTTTTTAAATTGAGGAGGCAACTGTCAAAATCACGTCGAAAATTCGGAGCAAGAAAACTCTAAATATGTTATACAAAAGGGCAATAATATCTAGAGAATTGAGGATTAGAGAGAAGTTATTTTGCAAGCCATAAACGAGCTCCTTATACAACACGAAGGAGCAATAAACATGTACGGCTTCTCGATTCAGCAGTTGATGACACTCTTAAAGGAGCGCCTGAACTCAATCTTCAGATGGTCCGGGAGGTATTACGCACAAATAAGAGGGCTGGCAATGGGACAACGACTGGCTCCAAGCCTTGCCATTGCATTCATGTCTAAGGTGGAAGCGCCAGTAATCGACCTCGGTCCGTTACTCTACTGTAGATATACAGATGACTGCTTGGTCATTTGTTCAACGCAAGAAGAAATCGACAGATGTTTCGAGTTGTTGAACACACAGTCAGAGTATATTAAATTCACCTGAGAGAAGCCAAAAGAAGACTGGTTTCCATTTCTGAACGTGCAAATTAGCCTATCAGAAAACGGCTACATTACGAAGTGGTATCAAAAGCCAAGTAGTAAAAACATCCTAGTTCAGTACCTCTCCTCTCATCCTTCTCACACGAAAAGGGCGCTTGTGAGAAACATGTATCGAACGGCTACCAGCGTGTGCACAGAGAGACAACAGAGATAGGAGCCCCGGAACTTGGCACGGCAAATAGCCATTTTTAATGGCTACGAAACCGTAGCTCCAGATAGGTGCAGAGGAAACCACAGGTACCCCAACGATAACTCTAGCGACAACAAGGTTCCGTTTATACTTCCATTCATTTCAAATGAAGTAAGTGCAGCTATAAAACGCTGTTTAAGAAGGGCCAGTCTAGAGAATTCGGTAACGATAATCGAAATACCACCGAGTAATCTAAGGCGCCAGCTAGTTCGTAACCGCCTATACGACCGTCTATGTGCAACGCAAAATTGCATAATTTGCCCCAAGGGTAGAGACGGTGACTGCATAAGTTCGGGTACAGTCTATCTGTTCTCTTGTAAAGTGTGCGGGGACGGATACGTTGGTGAGACGGGTAGGCCACTCTGCGTACGTATAAAAGAACACCTAATCGGCAAACGTAAGCCAAGTACTCCACTAGGTACGCATAGCACGCAGAAACATAATGGAGAAGATTTTGAAGTAAGGGTTACGATCCTCACGCAAGAATCCTTGAACACAAGCGCGCAAAACTCTAGAGGCATTCTGGATTAAATAGAAAAATCCGAAAATGAACCGCAGAGAGGAATGCCTCGTTATCACGCGCGATATTGGACAGTATATAAACCTGTTATTCTGATGGGAGGAGCACATTACGTTTCCATGTGAATTTGGTGCGGTTGGTCTTCACGTGATATACTCAGTGGAAGACTCATAGAAAGCGGTGAGTGTGCAGAGCTATGCTAAATGTGATTAAAATCTTGGTTTAGCGCTTTCTCTGTTTGGTTATGGAGGTGTTTGGCAGAGTGGATTGCTGTCAACTTGACCCTTCCAGGCTCTGAGGAAGGCGAAATCCGCCGAAACGTCAGCTTGTGCGTAAATAAAGAAATAAAATAGCACCTCGTGCTTGCTGAACAGAAGTAGAAAGATATATTCAATCAATGCCGAGGGTAATAGAAAGTCGGACTTGGGAGAAGTTATTTTATTTTGCACATACTTAAGAATCAGGTTTTTTGAAATTAATTCTGACGAGATTACAATTTCAGACTCAACGTGGCACCCATCTGGCTGAGGATTCTTCAGAAAGCGATGATGAGGATATAGGCGAATCACCATCTCCGACTCTTGCCCACCTATTACCTCCAGTTCCATCAAGCACGTCAGAGACCGTAGCCGCTATGCAATTTCATCCTTCCCTCGGGTACGTGATCAGTTTTTAAAATTTCCAAGACCGACTTTCTGCTAACCTCGACATTGATTAATAGCTCGATGTTTTTCTTCATTTCTTCTTCAAGTTTTTAAAATGGCTAGTGCTTCTTCCTATTCCGTTGTCATCCTGCCTATTCAATAGGATAAAGTGCTTCAGTATGATATTCCCATAGTGGTCTGGCTTTGCACGAATAACACACAGATTTTGAAGAACAACGTTGAGTGAGAAATATTTAGTGTTTGCCTTGAAACTACTACTTGAAGGCGAATCTGTGACGTTTTAAGTCGTTGGACACTGAGTTATCCTTAGTTCTCTTCCTTCATCTTAATACTGTGTTATTCTAGATCACTTGCCGAAAAAGAAGGAGAAGACGAAGAAGCAGAACAGTATGGTCCATCGCAAGACATGCCACAAAATATAGGGTTTTCGGTCTCACAACAATTTCCAGCTAGTGTTCGTTGTCCTTTGTTGATCCTGTGATGGTTGTTGCAACGAGTAGTTTTCGTTGTTGTAACGAGTTTTTAATACTAGGAGGAGAAGTCATGATATTGCTAAGTGTTTAGACAATTCCCACCCAAACAAGTTTACATTCCGAGGTTTTTGATGCGCACAGCAATATTGTTGATGTTCCTACTCCAGAGGAAGTGCGGTGAGATATTTAATACACGAGCACCAAGACTTTTAGATGTTTGTTTTTATGTTTAACCATCATTCAGTTTTGTTGAGTAGGTACTGCAATACACATATCCATTCGAGTGTAATTTATAAACATGCACGATTATGCCCGGCAATTTTCCTGCACATAGACGTTCCTTCGAACTTGTGTTCATTACTGTTCTTCAGATTATATTACACCTTCAGATTGGAAGCACACTTGCTCATTTTATTGCACACTAACCATGTTTTCTTTAACATCTCAGTCGCAGGTTGTTTAGTAGCTTGCTACGTCCGTTTCTTGAGATGAAGACTACATCTCAGTATCGAAGTGCTGTTGGTTTCCCACATGAGCTCACTACATCGTCCTCTCTGTCAGGATGTGGAGATGTTCTGCCGCTTCAAGAAGACATCGCCTCTAATCCACCGCTTTCATCAACAATGCTGATGAGCTCACGGCGATCGAGCAAGAGGAATTCGTACATATCGCTCTATGACTACGCTGGTGGATCCAGTGCACGTGACGACTCCTACAGCACTCTCACGTTTGTTTTGTAACAACAGTTTTCGTTTTACCTCATCGCTGAGCTGATGCTCTACTTCTCTATAGCTGTATAAATCGTAACTATGCTCGAAATTTCAGCATTATGGACATCCTCTTAGAAATGGGTCTGCATATCTGCTTGTATTACTTGCTAGTGCATCAATATATACTACAACTTTTGGTTTTAAACAAAATATCGTACCAGCTTTCGTGCGTTGAACGAGTTTAGTTTGCAGTGAATCCTAGCTTTAACTCGTACTAACCCGATTATGTTTTAGAATATTTCAGTAGGATACCTGAAAATACATGTGTGCTGTTGTTGCGTTCACGAAAAGCCTAGATATAACACCATTTGTCCTTTTCATCGCTTTTCATATTTACCCTGGTCGTTTATTTTTAAGCTAAATATCGTCACCCGATAGCAAATGTTGTTTTGTCAAACCTTACTAAATCCATTTAGTCTAATTACATCGCAACGATTGCGCAGTAGTCAAGAAATGCGTGCAGAAGTCCATCGTTTGCCAACAACGAGAGAAATCGAGGAAGAAGAGGAACGTCGAAAGCAGTCTACCGTTTCCACTAAGACGTTGAGCAATAAGGCACCGTTAAGGAAAAACGGAAGTGGTAACAGGTAATATTTATTTGAATACTACTAATTAACACGTAATGTTAATGTTCCATTCAAGCTACGTATGCGTATTCGCAGCTCATAGTGATAAACTCGGCGTTTATACCGTGAATGAATAGATTAGTTAGGCACCTCTACTCTCCGATCACGAAAAGATGTGGTTTTCCACATGGAAGGTACACTTTCATTCTCGTTTGGCCTAAATTCACTACCTATATATTGAGCTCTTGTTGTATACTTGTGCTTTTTGATGATATTCTCACGAAGAACAAGCTTGTCTTGGATTCCATCCTTAGACATGGTTTAACGTGTGCAGAAAAGAGAATGCCTCCGGTCGGTGTTTTATCAACTTTTGAATAAGCATAATTTTTTAACAGATTCGAGACCAAAGATATTCACTCGGAATTCCAACCATGGCCGTCTATAGCTGATGTGCAGCGTAAAAAAGAACAACTGCTGAAAAGGTTTTCATCAGTTTGATAATTTTTATCTTCTCTGGTATGGTTAGAAAAGTCCCCTTTAAGCACACCGCTTCCGTTTTATCAGTCTCATCTACAAAAAACCGATGCAAGTCAAGAGCAATCACAACCTGGTCCAAGTGGAAAACTTCCAAATGTGCATCAGCATAGAAAGTATACACAAGAGGTTGGTTCCAATGTTACTACATATCATATTATTATAACTACTATAATGCTGAGATATTTGCAAAACTCCGGACCGCAGGTGCATGCGGTGGGGGTCGATAGAACTAGCTGAGAGACAGGCGAAACGAAGGACCTGCATGGTGTGGTGGTGAATGCGTTACTCCCCGGAAAGGGCAATAGCGCGTTCGTTCTCCACTGCAGACACCTGTGGTCCGGAGTTTTGCAAATGTCTCAGTATTATGGTAGTTATATTTCACAAAATGCCCTGCCGTTAAAAAGAATAGGTAGTGAATAAAAAGGTTAAGATTATATTATTATAGTTGTGAATACAGTTTTTTTAGACGTGGGCATGTTTTAACGGTGACTGGATCATATACAAGTTCGATTTATATTAGCCATATTAACCATAGCCAAAAATGGCTTTTTTAGCCCTGAAATTCACATACTCATCCTACAATGGTACAGCCAGCATCATTGATGTGTAGGCGAAGGTAACTACTATCACTTTCAGGCTTCTCCGGTCGTCTCATCTACAGATGATGAGCGACGGTCAGCATCACCGTCACGACGATTCCGTATTTCTGTGTCACCGACAAGAAAAGCAGTACTAGACAGCACGGTGACTGGGTAAGCCAAACTGTTATTTAGTTTATTCGTTTTCCTGTATTCTAATGAACTACGTTGTGGGCTCATGTACGACTAAATACCCATGGCTTGTAAAGGTTATCGCCACTATTTCGCCACACAGTCTAATAAATGGTCTACAGATCTTCGAATATACACGAGAAACATCTTAGAGCAAATATCTTAGAACTCCAACAAAAAATCTGTTGATCCAGTAAAACAGAAACACTTTGTTGTTCATTAACACTGGCCGGTCATCATTCCAATTTGTTTGTTATGTGTTTTGCCTGTGACATCAAATCTCTTCAATTCCGGAGGGAAGTGGAGAAACCTCGAACGGCATAGGAGGTAATTTAGACAGGTCCAAAAGCACGTCTATGAAACTCCGTGGTAATTATTTCCTGCTGTACAGTGCATCGCTAGGACAGTCGGTACCGGCGACTAGAGATCACCAGACCAGAAGGCGGCATAAGCTTTCTTGAACCATAAATTGTTCATGACGTCAACTCACGAGACATTCGTAGCTTGTCGGATATTCAAAACTCGGGTTTGTTCTCACTGTCGTTTTCTTTTTCATCAAAGAAAAAACTGAAAAAGAAAACAACACATTTATGATCCAATGCCGAGATTAATAGAAAGTCATTCCCGGGAACTGTTTATTCTCATTTTTTGAAAATTTGTCGGTATTGTGTACGTGAAAATGGCGCCATAGGTTTTTGAAAAAAAAACTGTTGTTCGGAAGCGAAATGATTCCGATCGCATTTCTCCGCGCTATAGGTGGCTGAATGAATTTTGGAGAACTCTGTGCTATCGAAGTATGCTTCGAGGTTTTCAAAACATCTTTTAATCAGAGAACATACGTGGTAATCAATCATCATATGTCAGCCGTACATTGCTGAAAACATGCACGCACGCTTATCTGTTACTTAAGTGTGGTGGTGGTATTCTTCAATGGAACTTGGGATCTGTAATGATCATTCAACCATACAGAAATATGAAGCTCAACGGTTGGTGCGAAAGTGCATACCACTCTTGTCGGTCACAAGTGCAGTGCTCATCCGTCGCATTTCTTCTACATCTATTCTTATGAAAATGAAAAACCTTGTTATTGGGCCAGAGAGAAGATATTTTGGCTATAAATTACGCTGAACTGAGTTAGATTGTGGGAAAGTCGATAAAGGAAAAACAATGAGCTTGGTTACAAATGAGCGGACGAGAGTTCTAGGAAGATCTTTTTTTGTAATTGTACAGGTTTTTCCAACATACTAGGATTGAGCGTTATTCTACATATCTGTGGTAATTCAGTTGAGCTGTTACTGTCCCTAATTTCGTATCTAACTCACTCACTCACTCTCTTCTCGTCACTGGAGAGTCACTCACTTTCTGCTCAACATAACATTAGAAAGGATAAAGGGTAAAGCTCTCGGCGTTGATCAATCCCTGAGGGATGTGCCATGCATTCGACTTCATTAAGCATCGTTTGGAGGTGACTGAATGCCTATTTGGTCTTTACAATGACTCGCGGTGGCTTACCGATGTATCGAACCAGTGCTTCTATCTTCCCAGGCAAGTCTGGTACCAAATTTGCCGACCGAAATTTGGTACAAACGGAGGGATGAAAGACTTGGTGGGCCATGGGCGCGGGGATCGATTCCACACGTTGATTGCAGACCGCGTCCGACTACTGCGCCACACGAGCTCAATATACCATTAGTCTTGTCTAATTGGACACTTTCGTTCTATTGACCTCACAGCTGTATACCACTTTGAGCCGCCATTTCGTTAGCTATTTGACACATTCCCAGATGGCAAATATGAAGCGAAACATTGACCGGATTCATCCAAATGTTTTTCTTAAAACATAAAAATATGAGTTCCAGTTGATGAAGCTTCTCTTTCCGCTGCGCTCGGCCTCATTATACTTTCTCTATGCGCCTATTGATGTACACATGCGTTTATATCCCTAGATGTGTAGACTCTCTCACACTGGTCATTTTGCTAGAAAAAAGACAGGAACTGAAGTGACGAAGAAAATAATGTAAAACAATCGCGAATTACCTTGAACTAGGTCGCAGTTTACTTCGGAATTGCACTCGCAATAGAGCGTGGTGAGCTATTAGTGGCACCCTCCCCAGGAACAAAAATGTGTCGTGGTACGAAAACTTGGTGCACACTATGTCACTCGAGCGAATTGAGTAAATATAGCAGTTCAAGCACTCGACAGGGACAAATCAAGTACATATTATTGATGTCTGCTTTAGATGCCGGATGATAAACGAAATTACAGATAAAAACAATGACCTAATATGCATATATTTCATTATAGGAATGTACGCCGATTCATGATCAAACAGGAATCAATGAACTCCTCAAAATCTTCGGTTCAGCACGCAACAGAACCTGCTGCGAGCACCCCAACTAGCTCTTCAAGAGCACCTTGCGCTGAATTTGACGAGGACGACGATCCTCGTGCGCCTTAATGATCTTTGTATGCACTTCTTTATAGGTTAAGTTAATAGTTATGTTACGTGTCCTGTATTTTTTAGTGTAAAGTTAGTCTCTTTCCTTCTTTATACTTTCACTGCGGTCTGAGCACTGTCCGATGGCCTCCACCTCTTTCCCGTGCTTGGTCGTTATCATTTTGAATGTGTACCCGGTAAAGACTTTGTTGTTTCTCGAAATTTGTTCTGGTTCGCGTAGATTTTTATTTAAAACCACAGATTTTCTTTTAGTGATTTGTAGAAATATGAGTTTATTTTGGCAAAAAATATTAATATCTGGAAGCGTGGTTATGCGCTCTTTAAATTCACATTCCCACTCACGTTCTTATCACTTGAGACTTATCTATTTATGTAAACGATTCTCGTCATATCACCGTTAGTTGTATGCACTTGTTACATAAAAATGAATTGTTCTTTTGAAGAAAATATAACTGCTGAATCACTGGATGAAGGTGAAAGTCTACATTTGAGTCATCGCTGCTTTGTTAAGCTCGATATGCTACGTATACTGCTGAAAACGGAACGAATGCTGGCTGATTACAAATAGCAAATACATGAGGGGAGAATACGAATAGAATGCGTACAGTCCGATGGAAAAGGTGGTCTTTTTCGTGCAGACTTCAACCACAGTGAAATAACGGATGTCTAAAGAGGCAAAAGTTGATCATGATTATGAGGGAACAGTCTTGATTGGCATGTGACGTAGAACACCTAGCATCACCTTTTTTCTACTAATGCTTAGTTCCTTTCTTGACACGGATTTTAAAGCCGAAAAAGTGTGAAATCAGGTTGTATGACTTCCATGGCTGGCATGACGTGTTAGGTGTTGATAAGAGATTTCGACGTACTAGGGTTCCATCAGAAAAATAACGAGAAACACTCATCTAAAAGAATAAAAACGATAAAGCTTCCAGCGTTGAATTCTTCACAGATATGCCATGCATTCGACTCCATGAAGCCTCGTATAACTTCGTTGAATGTACATTTACCCTATACAACTCTTTCCCTTGGCCCACCGAAGTAATAAATTAGTGCTGTTAAACAAGTTTCGCATTGATTTGACCACGCCACAGGGATAAAAAGCTTGGTGAGCCTGAGACTCATGGTCCAACCAAGGCCACGTGTGCACGGCTAGGCACCTCCACCCACTGTTCTACAAGCGCTACTCACCTGTCTACAGCATAGTCAAAGCTTGAAATACTTCTTGGCGTTCTCTAAACGACAGTAATAAATTGGTAGACTTTGGGCATGGATCAGGGAGACTAAAGTGAACGTCCAGTTGGTTGTTTCATGGTAGTGGTCTGCAGGATAGGGTTTGAATTAATATAAGATAGGCCAGATGAATGGCGTATTTTAAAAAATGTACTTCAAGAGACGTGTACATAAAAATGATAACCACGTAAAAGATTTACTCGATAACTTTGCTCTTTCACTTTTCACAATTATAATAATTAGAATAGAGATTACAATGAGACACTACAGTTTCGCTTTTCTCTTCTTATCCAGAATTCCTTGCAGCTTTTGAAGTAACATCACGTTCCCTTTTACTTTTAGTTTTCCATCCATGAAAGCCTAAAATGGTAGTTTACTTCTTTGTCACACCTTACTTATTTGCGTAACAACCTCAGTGTTCGAAGTTTAGGGCACCTCAATGGAATGCCAGTTTTAACACATAAGATTGTTGTACCACCGTAATCCACAAACCGCTTATTCTTCTAGTATTAGTAATCTGAAGGAAAGCTGCTCGCAAAAGAAACCACACAGTTTCCAATCGATAGATTCTATCTCATCAGTGAACAACACGATAAAGCTGCCTTCACTGCAACCGTTTCATACATGTGATAAGAATGTAGTGGAATACTAATGAGGAAGCTAAATAACACTATAGTACCAATCATGCTTACGACTAAAGCTTAAAAAGCTGTGAAATACATCGAAAAAAACTGCCATGAAAGGACAACTTCTAGATATTTGAGCACATTTGGACTAACAGCTGCTAATGCGAACATTTGAGGAGGACTATATGTAAATATTAGAAAGAAAAGTCATATTTTTAACACTATCTTCCTTAGTCAGTGCGCATTCGCTTGGTTTAGATCAGTGGTGCGAACAAGGTACCATAATTAAATGTGATTCCTGAAGAGTGAATTTTGACAACGTCACCGCCTTAAACGGTGGTGCGTGCACCGCTTCGACCATTACTTATCCCCCACATTGCGAGTTATAAAAGTATTTTCTGTGTAGGATTAAGCTGTTTTACCTTTTGAGGATTGACTACCCCGGTAGCGATTTGGAAGAAGACCTCGTCAGATACCGTGAGTGTTACATTCGCCTTCTCTCCGTTCTTCACATCACCTTTGTACACCGACGGCGGTGTGTTTTTAAAGTCCAGCGCTGAATTTTTCGTCTTACATTGTGAAATTACAGTTGGTAACATAGGTATGCCATAATATTTTAGAAATCCAGCAACCCTCTTTGTTATTGTTTTCTTTGTTCACGTGTGTCCGCAATAAGTCACATGCTTGCTATTTGGCAAAGTATAAAGCTCTCGGCATTGATCAATGTGAAACCCTAAGGGATGCTCCGTCCATTCGACTTCATGAGGCATCGTTAGAGGTGGTGGAATTCATAGTTGGTCTATGCGATGACTCACGGTGTCCTACAGATGTGTCCACTCGGTGCTGCTATCTTCCCAGACAAAGTCTGGTGCCAATTTATCGACCTCGGAGAAATGGAGGGCTTGTTGAGCTTAAAGCACGCGATCGATCCTATGTTTATTCTAAGGCTTCTCCAACACTGCGCTACGCGCGTCCGTCTTGCGATCTTTAACCGAGGCAGCTTAATAGACTGAAAATATCTTTTGCAGTTCATTTCAAGTACTGTATTTTGTTCTGTTCGCTACAAATCTGGATGTTCAGTTTCTGTGGCGCACTGCTGTAGCTGGGCTGCACTCCGTTCGGAGGTGGTCACATAAATCGCAATAACCAGTTGGTGTGCATACCCCCATGAGAAGGCCAGCCAAATTCAATGACGGAATCTCATTATGTACATCAGCTGAGCTTACTTTAGACTCAACCAAAGCAACCACAAACCCTGCCTCAGCATACGTCACCTGTATTTGAAACGAACTCCACTGCCTCGGTTCACGAACCTTCGGCTACGGCTTCCACACCTCTTGTCGAAAAAAGTGCTCGTGCTGACGTTATTACACAGCAACTATGAAATGAAAGAGAAAACAGACGGCGGAAACTCGTAATCACTGGGTGCAGCAAGTATCTCGGTCAAAATTCGTCTACAAGCTCACTTGGCTGGATGTAGGCACCATTAGCCTATGTATCACGGAGTTCCTATTTCAAGAAAGTCGTGTAGTCTGAATTACAATCTGGCATGAAATGTAGACCTCACACCGAACCACTGCTACGCACGACACTTATTGTAATCACCTGGACAGATTCCAAGCTCACGATTGAACATCTTTTACATGTAAAAAATTTTCATGGAGAAATACAACCTTGTGATAACCTTCCCAATACCAACTAGCAGATTCAATGTCATTTCTAGTATGGCTTTGATTTAACCCGTGTGGACTGGGGCCTCAGTATGTCGCTAAAACAGCATCTTACTGGGAATTCTTTCCCGCCGAAGCCCTGCGGCTCTTATAGTGATAGAATCGAACCGGTGTGGTAGATCGACAGAACTAAGTGATCCGAACCGAAGAACAATTGAAGTTGACTTGACAACGAATGCGGAATAATTTTTCAAATATGTCATTTGTAACAGGAACTTGTTTCCAACTAATAAAGAGTTGCGATGAAACGAGGCTCACTGAATTTTCCAATCTCCTGTTTACCGTCCGTAATAATGTACAGAATAATTGCTTTGATGTTTTTTACAGCGCTCGGATCCTGCTGAAATCAAACAGTCGACAGAATACGCTTGAAGCCATAAGAGTACTATAAGAATAATGTCAAAATTACTATATATTTTTTGAGAGGTTCAACTTATTCACCTTGAGTCCATCGCTGATTTCTTGAAAAATTGCTGAGGTTTTCATATCAGATGGAAATGCGTTTGAACCATTACTATGACTGCTCGTATTGCCACCAGCACTCTGAACACAAGTAAGTGACTCGACAGAAAAACCCTAAATGTAGCCATTACTTACACCGCCATCTTTGACTTTACCAATGATTTCCATCAACTCCAACATATGATCGCGTACACTCTCGAAATGTTTCGCATTTTTCATATCAGTGATTTCGCTCCAGTTGCTTCGTACTTAAATCAAAAATCAGATGAAATATCTTTAAAAGCACTAAATATTCTGACGAATTGACTAAATAGTCAAAATATCAGATACTGAGGAATTTGATATTCGCAAAAATTTCAATCGACTGGAAAAGGCTTAAAAACGTAAAGAACATACTATCTTCAACAGAAGCGCTTTTCACCACCTTCCCGACAGATCGATAGTACTTGACTGAAAACGGACAATATGTAGAAACTGTGTTACGATAAGGATTCTTAGATATGAGTAAAACTCGGAACTCATCTTCTCTTCGAGCCATCGATTACCCTTACCGATGGATCGATTACCGTTACCGATGGATGGATTGCTATCCATAACAGTAACAGAGGCTGGCTACTTTGTCAGCCGTGAGTAGCATGTGAGCCCGGTAAGAGTAATCGCGGTTTCGAACCTCAGCTGAGGTTCCGTTTCTCGTATCTCACCTTTCAAACGGTTGTACTTCACTCTGTACCTTGCCATGAAGAAAGAATGGCCAGTAAATAAAAGTAAAACTACTATATTAGGATAAAACAAGCGTTTACAAGATTAATTCTTTCTACTTCTGTTTAGCAAACAAGAGGTGTTATTTTATTTCTTTATTTACGTAAAAGCTGACGTTTCGGAGCATTTCGTCTTCCTCAGAGCCTGGAAATGTCAAGTTGACTGCAGTCTACACGGCCAAACACCTCCATAACCAAACAGAGAAAATGCTGAAGCAAAATTTCAATCACATTGAACACAGAGTCTTTGCACGCTCACCGCTTTCTATGAGTCTTCCACTAAATATGTCACGTGGAGACCAACCGCACAGAGTTCACGTGGAATCGTTATGTGCCCATCTCATCAGAATAACATGCTCATATGCTGCCCAATATTATGCATGGTTATGAGGCATTCCTCCCTGCGGTTCGTTTCCGGATTCTTGGAATTAATCCAGAATACCTCGACAGCCTTGAGCGCTTGAGTTTTCGACTCCTGTGCGAGGATCGTCACTTCTACTTCAAAATCTTCCCGTTATATCTCTGTGTCCTATGCGCGCCTAGTGGAGTATTTGGTTTACGCTTGCCGACTAGGTGTTCTTTTATACAAACGCAGAATGGTCTACCCGTTTAGTCAATATATTTGTCCCGAACGCTTTACAAGAGATCAGATAGACTGTACCCGAACGCATGCAGTCACCATCTCTACCATTGGGACAAAAGAATGTTAGAAGAAAAAAAAAATTTTTTAAAAATGTTAGAAACCATGGTAAGACTTAAAAAAACTCACGTTCACCATACCACCCTCCTCCAGCTTCGTATACTTTGCCACTTTCGGTAAAGGTTTCATGACAAAGGTACACGACTAGGGGTGTAACGTGTTCTGGATTCAGTGCCTCTAGAATGGACTGAAAAATTATTGTTTGGTGTTTTTATTTCAGTAGATCATCTTCCTCCTATCTCATATACTCAGAATACTGGCTCCATATGACGTAGACTCCCCAGCAATTCGCTTGCCTTCTATTTGTTTTGTTGTTTTGTCGTCATATATATAGAGAGTCGCATTGGTGTGGTTCCGAGTACTTGAGGATATGTGGTCTTCTCCTCTCAACAGCATAGCTGGATGGTTCGATGGTCCGACACACTCTCGATACGGCGTGGACATTTTGTTACATTAGTCAACCGTTTATCACATTATAAGTGGCTTTCCTTGAAAACAGCTTTGATGTCTTGTCACTATTTTTTCTAAGTTACGCTTACGACTAGCAGCAACTCATTTTTAGATTACGTAGTCGTTCAGAAAACGTCTTGCTCTAGCGTAGTGAACCACTAAGTTTTTCTTGTCGTGAATAATATGACCGTCAGATAAAATGAAAAATCACGTCTGTACCTCTGGGAGAACGAGCTTCGTGAGCCGAGAACTAGCTGTAGGAACTACAGTGTTCACAAAAATGTTGTCTTTAGCGCCCTCTTCAGCTAGCGATTTGCAGAAGCCAATTAGTGCTGATTTGGCTAAAATGAAATAATGATTGCTTTTTAGCTTCAAAATCCTAGATTACATTTTCTATGTCACATTTTCGGTAGTTTTCCACGGGCTGTAAGGCAAAGTCAACTATTTCTACAATAAAAGAAAAGAGTGACTTAAGAGAGGTTAGATGAAAATCAGCTTAAAATTCATTGCTTCATTAGTGCGTGATGCCAATTTGTTTCCCCTCCAGTAACTTTCTACTCAGTTCTACTATATAGTATTTCCATAGTGGTCTAATATTTCATTCTCATTGCAAATTTTATCTAGCCTCATCAACAATATGTTTTCTATAGTTTTGCAAAAGTGATAAACTCACCAGCTGAGTAGTTAGTTTGCCCGAAGTTACCATAAATGGCAGCGTTTGATGAGGTAACGATGATTCGTCCATAGTTTTGTTTTTTCATATGAGGCCAAGCAGCCTTCGTTACAGAATACGTTCCCTTCATGTGTACTTTGAAGATGAGATCTGGAAATCTCCACAAGCGTAGCTTTTCGATGGGTATAAATCTAACAGTCTAGCCTACCCCAGTCCTGATCCGTCATCTTCACTAGCGAGACATCACGAAGTATGCCGGCGTTGTTGATAACAATATCTGTAATCGGATACCACCTAACGAAGTTAGATTTCAGAAGGGCATTTTTTCACACCACTTATAAATCCTAACAGCGATCAGCGTACCAATTCTTCCGAAATTGTTAATGGCAGTGTTGACGATTTTCTCTCCAAATTCAACGCTATCATAGTTCGCCACTGCTTGACCACCGGCTGCCTTTATCTCGTTAACCACCTAGAATATTCGCTAATAAATCGTTTACCTTTTTATTGGAGCTTTTATACAGGTTTAAATACAACGTTTCTTTACTTTTGTCCTTATTTTTTCCTTTCAAGTTCATCAACCGCAATGCATCCAGAGGAAATTGCCACGAATAGGAAATGCAGACTTTGAAATTCTTTTTTGTTGTTGCAAATTTAAATATAACCACGAAATAAAGAAAACCATGCTCAAGGGATGAATACTTGCGTGTCGACTGCATTCCATAGACCAAAACAATCTAATCGCATTCACTTATTTCTCAAGGATTCGCAAAATCTACTGATACATTCCAAAACAACTTTTCACCATCGGTTTGGTCTAAATGTCAATTATTAGCGCTTTTAGTACTGTATTTTACATGACTAGAGAGTGAAATATCAATTATTCTGACGTTGATAATCTGGAGTGGTGTTGTTTACCTTATCAGCCATAGAGGTCGAGGCCGAAGTACCATGTGCATCCCCACCAAGATCGTTCACTGAAAGCGCAACTCTCTCCCGACGAATTGACTATGTTCTGCTCGATGAGATTCTTACCACGTCTGATTTGATTTCAGCTCATAAGACTGCTTTACTTGATAGTCATAATTAGGGTACCGACGATATCTTTTCTTATCCATAATGGAGGTGAAGACCAATTTGCTTTTTTATTCGTTTTCAAGCTATTTGTAGTGATTTGACTAAGAGATGAAATCTTACTTTACAATGGAAACTTTATTTCATTTGTGTTAATGGTTGTCTACTTGATGTGAGGAGGTCTACCACTCGAATGTTAACCTGCTGAATAACCTTTGCAGCACTAATGTGATTCTTGCACCTAGGCAAATTCACCAAATTGCAGAAGTTTTCAGAATGAAAAAGGGCAACTCCCGTATTATGGACCTACTGAAACAGCTATCACAAATGAACTGTGTAAAAAAGCAGCAGCACAAGACAGAAAAAGAGGAAACCTCACCAACTACTTTGCATCCTCGCTTTGCAAGTTCCAATGCGTAAGTTCTTCCAAGTCCTCCTCCGGCTCCTGTTACGATAGCTACCTTACCGTCAAAACGAAGTGACATGTCTATATTTAAAAGCAGGTCTATGTTAGAAAATAAAAAAAATGAAGATGTAACTGAAACGAAATATTTTCTCGAATAAATTCTTAGAAGTGGAAATCAGTTTCACTGTCGATAATCCAATATAGTCCTGAGGAATCGTGCTACTGATGAAAAAGACTGTGATGAAATGAATTAAATCGATATAAGACACAAGTGTTTCGAAAAGACCTGTCCGATCAATAGTCTATGGATTTCTGTAGATTCTATAACAGATGTTTTAATCTATAGATTCTAAAATTTAAACCTAAACGAAAAACCAAGCAGTGAGGTTTCAACTGTTGGGCAGAGCAAACGTCGACTAGAGCGACACAGCATCTTTAACCGTCGTTAGTAAGGTGAACGTGATTGATAAGAGCGTGTAACACACTGAACCAGATAAGTGACTGCTTATCTTCACAAAAGAGGACGGAATCGGAAAATCATCAAGATACTCTTCAAGGAAAACAAGTTTAGATACCAAACTTCGCATGAAGAGTTAATGTGGTAGATGATAAAGGATTTCGTTCTGAAATAGAAATAGTGATAAGAATCGATGCTAGTTGGTCGATAAATGCCAAAAACGTGTTTGATCGGTTTGCGAGCGGTGTCGAACAGGCTGTATAACTTTAGACGATCATGTTAAAATCATTCTTCTTTCTTATTACAAGGTTTTCACGCATATCAGTACAGTTATGAAACTGGTAAATATGGCAAAAAATGAAGTGGATAGCAGATTATGAACATAACTACTACTGGTCTTTACTTCACTCAGCACATCGGTCGTATTTACTTGTTGCTGAATATTTCGATCAATGGAGTAATAGAATTTTACCAAGAAAACACATTCCTAATCGTTTTATTTACTGCCTACTCTTTAGGATAGTAAATAAAACGGTTAAGATCACAATTTTAACTTATTATTTGCTGCCCACTCTTTTTTTTAACGGCAGGGTATATTGCGAAATATAACTTCAATGATGCTGAGATATTTGCAAAACTCCAAACCGCAGGTGTCTGCCGTGGGGAACGAACGCGTTATTGTCCTTTCCAGAGAGTAACGCGTTCACCACCACACTATGCGGGTCCTTCGATTCGCCTGTCTCTCCTGAAAACGGTTAAGATTGTAATTATAACCAAAAGTCTCAGCTTAACTGGGTTCGTTGCCGATTTTGGCTCCCCAGATCAATCCCGCCGACGGGTGATTGCTGATGGCAAAAGATCGATAGAACTAAGTGAGAGATAGGCGAAACAAAGGACCCGCGTGGTGTGGTGGTGAACTCGTTCCTCCGCGGAAAGGACAATAGCGCGTTCGTTCCCCAACGCAGCAGACACCTGCGGTCCGGAGTTTTGGAAATATCTCAGCATGATTGAAAAAACACATTCGTTGAAATAATAAAAGCAGCCATCTATTACTTGTTCGAGGCAACCGACACTCTGATGACCCATCTCCACTCAAAATACGAGTCTCTGTATTTCCTCCATTAAGTCTCGTTGTTTCCCAACATTCATTAGCCAAGATGGTCAATTTTATGTACGAGTTTGTCCTTATTTTTAAGGATCAGAAATTTTTTTCTTATTAAAATGATTAATAATTAGTGTGGTCCTCGCTGAAATTACATAGGAGCCGCTACCACTTATCACTATGGGTGTCAGCCAACAATTGTGTATCAGACGTGGCTTTCTGCAGACCGACTGAGACTAGTTTTCCAGGAGAACAGCGATTTCCCCCAGAGTGAATCCCTTGAGATTAAGCGCTCAGACGATGAAGAACAATGTCGCTGGCCGAATTCATTGTAATGTAATTTTAGGACCTTGTAATCGCTTTATTTTTGACTTCTTCCATTAGAAAGACTCATTTCAAATTTGGGAGTCCAGTTTTTTCTAAATATCTGAGGATAATTGTGGTTGTATTGCACATCATATCCTGCTGTGAAAAACTAATAGGCAGTAGATCAAAAATTTCAAGACTGTTTTGGTATTCTCACTGAGAGATCTCCAGCCACCTAGTCGCGATGCTAGGCGTTGCGTTCCATAGATGACACTTATACTCTCGTGACGAGTAACACCTATTGTTGTTACAATGTTGTTGCGGGTGTGACCGGTACATCTACAGGTGTCGTTTTATTTCCGGTGGCTTATTTCGCTGCACAGAAGTTTTACCCTAGACTTCATGTAATCATTCGTTAGCTTATCCAACGCAGGTAGCGTGTTGACCGTCGTCCGTGGGACGGTGTCCTGTTGATAATTTCTTATTTAAAAACTCATAAAGAACCCGTTTTTAGACAAGATCCTTTCGTAGGTAAGAGACTTTTACTGTGAAAGAGTGTGCTGATTACAGAGTGTGGAATATGGAGCAGAAACGACTCTACCCACTCACAGGGATTCGACACTAGGCGAGAGGTTTTCGCTAGGTTGAAATGATAAATCTTCGAGAATAGTTCTTCAGTGTTCATAGAATATACATTTATTATTTTGATTAAACAGAGTTTGCCCTCATAAGCAGCTATGAACTTTTCTAACTACAACCATAACTGATCTGTTGAAAATTGTTCTCAAAAACATTTATTACTCAGTCTACGTTTATACTAAATATATGTAAGCATGGAAAACAAAGTAGGCAAAAAAGGGTGATACACAGCGAAAAGAACATTAATCGCCTATGAGGAAAACTGCTGTCTAATATAAGGTATAAAGTGATAAAGCTCTCGTCGTTGACCAATTCCAGAGGGATCCGCCTTACATTCGACTTCACCAAGCGTCGTTAGAGCTGAATGAATGCATACCTGGCCTATGCATTGACTTGTGGCAACCTATTGATGTACCGAGTCAGTGCTGCTACCATCTCGGACAGGCCTGGTAGCAATTTGCAGACCATGGATAGATGGAAAGATTGGAGAAGTTGTCGCGCTTGATCGAACCGAAGTTTATTCCAGGACACCTCTGAGCACTGCGCTGCGCGCTACGATGAATTATGGTGACTAACATGCCTAAAATATTATATACAGTGTAAAATATGTATCTAATATAAGCAGATTTAAAACATTTGTTATATTTATTCATATGATCTTATAAATTGATCTTCATAAGCTGACACGAGGTTGGTACAAGTCTTCATCGTCGTTGTTTTTTATGCTGTTGGTCGATGGCTGACGTTTCGGCGACTTCGTCTTCCTCAGAGCCTGGACATGTTTTATATTAGAACATTTTTATTATTCGGTGGAGAAAAGGTTAAAGTATTAATGAAGATCAAAGTTTCAAATAGACGCCACATTGAACAGAAAGGCCACTCACCGTGATGTTACGTGTGGGACTGGCCCACACGTAGTTCACGTGGAGTCTCGAGCAGGACACAGCCCGGTGTTAAAATACCATTTTGAAATAGGGCGCCAGGTAACGCGTGATAGTGAGGCATTCGTCTTCCCGACTGACCTCGGGGTGTGTCTTTTTCGGGACCCCACGTGAACTACGTGTGGGCCAGTCCCTCACGTAACATCACGGTGAGTGGCCTTTCTGTTCAATGTGGCGTCTATTTGAAACTTTGATCTTCATTAATACTTTAACCTTTTCCCCACCGAATAATAAAAATATTCTAATATAAAACACGTCCAAGCTCTGAGGAAGGCGAAATCACCGCAACGTCAGCCATCGACCAACAGCATAAAAAACAACGACAATGAAGACTTGTACCAACCTCGTGTCAGCTTAAGAAGATCAGTTTATAAGATCATATAAATAAATATATAAACTATCTATGCCGAGGTTTATAGAAAGTCGGTCCATCGAGCTATTAAGATTTAGAACATTGTTGATTCCGTAATAGATGCCCAGATCGTTCAAGTGAAACCTATAGAAAATTCCATCAATTTTGAACGTCGACTTCATTTATATTGTTTAGCTTTGGAATCGCTGCGAAAAATTGTGGTTATAGTACAAAATTAGCAGATATCTAGTAAAATTAACATCCATTGAACGATGGAGTGAAGTCTTTCTCTTAAGGCTCCAACTCCTGATCTATTAAGGACTCGTCTTCTAGAACATCCTTAAATAACCCACATAACAGGAATAAGGAAATTTATGGTGGATCTCACCAGCCCGTTGACTGTTAGATCTCTTGCAGTAGTTTCGAACAGTGATGGTTATCGTGCAAATTCATTAGATATACAAAAACATATATACGCATGAACGATAGTGCAAAGCTTATTCTGTAAATGTTTGATGTCTCAACTCCTGAAATACTCTAGTAATCAAAAAAATTGTGGACGGCTTTCCAAGATTTGGTATCGCATGCGGTGTGCAGCACCTTTTTTAAGAAAATTCCTTTGTTATCTAACCTTGAATGGGTATGATGATTACTGGGTACTGTGAAGAATGAGAGGATATCAAAACTACAATGTAAATATCATAATATTCTTTGCAAGACTTATACAACTCTATTAGATGCTGACAGTAGCACTACTGCATAGTAGACGAATTTGTTTCTCTTCACACGCAAGAGTTATTTGAGCACTAAAAACATGGCAGTGTGCAATGAAGAACATGGAGCATACAAACGGTAACAGACGGGCAGAATTTTTTAGAAAATGCTGATAAAAACCGGTTTCTAAAACGTAAATTACAATAGGAGAATGCGGGGTTGCATAAAAACTGCGGGAGTGGCTGAGGTGACATCTATAGGTGTCGCAGTGGGCACAGCGAAAAATTAGGCGTCGCCACTCCACAACTAACCTGAAATTAGGTGTCGTCACGAGAGTATCATTAACGCAGGCCAAAGGTGAACTTGCACTTTACTATGAGACACAGGCGGATTAAGAAAGAAGCTTTCTATCTTTGACGTGCAAATTGAATTATTCTGTCTCTACTCCCACATATTCATGAGTGTATAGGTGCCCATTCGAAAATGCAAAATGGATTTTCCATGGAGGTTTAGCGGAAATTCTTGATTCGATTCGCTTAGAATTGCAAAATACGTCTTCCAAAGTCTCTTACAACTAATGAGCTGTTTCACGCTCCATGTTACGAACAGGTTAGTAGAATCTCGCAGCTATTTAGACTGCGTAGACCTATCAGAATAGTTGAGTCAACTATCTCCACAAGGTGTGCGGACTAAGCCCAATTTGTACTCTTTTCGGCTTCGCAATATGATTCATAAAGGTACTCTGCTTCTTATATGACGTGCAAGTTCGAGTTATCGAGATGGTTGAGGTTGTGGTAGTGTATTTGGTAGGCGAGTGGTCTAGCGAGTACGGTAGATGGCACAGAGTTTCCTAGCCTAGTTCGCTCAACTTTAGCTGCTTCGTTTTATAGCATGTCTCTGCGGGTTGTCTAGAAGAACCACTGATATCATTTTTTCTGATCAAAACGAAACATATCTGTGGAATTTTCTGGGCTATAATGGCGATCTATTTCCCGTTATACATCAAAATACGTCAGAAAATGGGTCAGCCGGATTGTGTGAAAGAAGCCTAGACGATACCTCAAGGCAGCGGCTTCTTTGATTGTCACTCAATTTGTACAGCTTCCACTTGTTGAGCTTTGTTGACTGTCCAATTATTTTCAAAGGCTCTGAAACAGTTGAGATGATAGAATCTGGTTCTTTTGCATTTTAATGAACAGTTGTGCCTGTTCACTCGACCAAACCTTTCACTTGATCGTCGTAAATAGTAGAATGACATCCATGCATTCCATCACCTTCAACGTCAAAATCGCAGCGAAAAAAATTTCCAAACAAACACTACAGTTCGTTAAAACCACATTGACTCTATATCCGACTGTCTTCAGCCGTTTACACTGTACTACATTCGTAATTGGATTTCGTAGAAGTATACTTGTCGAACCACCCAACGGTTTACCACCTCATCGTGGCTAGGAGGTGTTTCTGGGTATCGGACTGCGATGTACAGGGAGGAGATTCGTCCACCAGGCAGGGTCTCCCAAGCTGAGAAGGAGTCCGGCGTTTCCATCAGGAAGCCTAGCTAAGAGTAAACCAATACCAGGGTCCACCACGGTTCTGGTATCAAAGTTGCATGGTGGCAAATCTCCCTCTGATCCACAAGTTGTGGCTGCCTGTGGCGGTGACGACCTGGAGCAGACTTTAGCCAGGCTGAACTCGGGACTCCAGGGAATCATAATGGCTTAACCTGCAAACCTCCGAAAAATAGATATTATGCTGGTTCCCGCACAACCAGTGAGGGCGGAGCATTCAAATATCAAGTAAGTATCAAGTATACTTGTCGAAATTGCTGTTTCGAAATCTGAAATCCCTATCTCAAAAATTTTGTCGGAGGCCCAAATTATATTGCTATTCCATTTCACGATGTCGAAATACATGAAGTGAGGCTTCCATTAATTTTTCATTTTGTGGCATTTGAAAAAAAATTGTTGCGGAAACATATACCAGGATTATAAGAATACAAATCAGACTTTAATTTCTGAGCAACGTAGTAATAATACTTAGTGGGAAAAGCGCCTTGCGAGCAAGAGTGACCCATATCTCTAGCTGATTCTTTAACCTGAGACAAACACATTGCTCACCGATGTAAACTCTATGCTGCTTGCCCCATCAATAATTTAAAGCCTAATAATAGTAGAGAGGCGAATTTCATAACGTTTTGGCTTGTATTTATTGTCAATTCCTTTTTCATTTCAGCATACAATGTGAAATACAGCAGCGAGGATGTAGAGCTCATGTGAGCAGAACTCGGAACCTCAACTGAGCTTCGAATCCATAATTACCCTTACAGAGGGCTCAGCATCAAGCAGACAGAAAGGTGAATCAAGGGCTTTTGCTGGTATGGTGGGCAGAACGTGAGCCCACGGAAAATTAATCGTGGGTTCAAGTGGTGAGTGAAAACAGGATGCCTCTCGTGCGTCTGAAATGCATGTGCCAAGCTTTTTTTCTGATGTTATGCAAGTGTTTGGCTGAGTGGAATGCGTGCAAATTTGACTTTTTAGGGCTTTGAAGAAGGTGAAATCGCCGAGACGTTAACCACTATTGCACTAGCCGTTTATTAACACATGATAACTGTTTCTAAAGAAACAATCTATGCTAGAGAGCGTTCACGGGTAGAAACACCTTGAACATGAGCTATTTTGAATAAGCCTCCTTAATGATTTATATTCTTGAAAGAACAAAAAAGGTGGTCCTTAGAGGAGAGTTTCAGCATTCGAGTACACTAAAGGAGCGTTATCTTCACCAACAGATAACTCTGTTGTGAATGTTCTCTTTCACCTGTATAACCTCTATCACCTGTAGTCCCACTGAACGCCGAGTGACTCGAGCGGGTGCCAATAAAAATTCCATTTTTCCCTGTCGCGTGCAAGTGTAGCCCAGTGGGTTTTGCTCGCTCTAGACACAGCATTATATCTTTTTTTTAGGCTTTTCATGAAGAAATCTGACCACCCTGTCCGTGGTCTTACTGCAGTGTGTTTCACATCCTGAGGAATCCAGTCACTAACGGCTCTTGTTCATCGGTTGTCATTCATAAGCAATACTTGTCCGGCCCATCTTATCTTCGATTGTTTGACGTACAGAACGGTATCTTTGATTTTTGATCGTTGGTGCGGCTCGGAGCTTCGGATACCTTCAGTTACTTGCCTGACGCGGGATACTCCTAGCATTGTCCTTTCGTCTGCGCGCTCAATAACGCTGAGTGATCTTTCATTCTGCTTAAGTAGCGAACAAGTTTCTGACGCATACGTTAACGCAGGAAGTACCGTTGAGTCGAAAAGGTGGGCATGGGGTTGGGTGCTCTTTATTCTGTACACTGTGGTCCCGCACGTAACATCACAGCTCTGAGGAAGGCGAAGTCGCCGAAACGTCAGCCATCGATCAACAACATCAAAAACAACGACAACGACAACGAAGATCTGTACCAACCTCGCGTCAGCTTAAGAAGATCAGTTTATAAGATCACATAAATAAATATATCAATTATCTATGCCGAGGTTTATAGAAAGTCGGTCTTTCGAGTTATTAAGAGAATACGCGTATTAAATTATACGACGATAAGGGCGGTATGATTTGTAACAGGGGGAGTGATATCCGTTACAACGACCATGGTGCTGGTTCGATTCCGGTCTGCGCCAACCAAGGCCCTCATTCCTCCGGGGTCGGAAAATTGGTACCGGACTTGTCTGAGAAAAAAATCACTCAGCAATCCAATTGGGAACGCTCCAGCCCGGTTATCTCGGGACTGCAGGGAGAATTGCTCGACCAGCATTCCACGGCATTCAGGATGAAATGGAAATCCTCAAACAGCAACGGGAGTCAAACTCTACTCTTGTCTTCTGTGGACTGGCTGCTTAATAATCTTTTAATCTCACATGTTATTCCACAACTGTTTCACAAGAACATGTTTTAATTAACAAGAATTTACATTGCTTTAACATGACACAGATTCGTTAAATGATCAAAAAATGATGATCAAATGATTCGTTAATGATTGATTAAATGATTCATAATCCGCTTTTATCTAAAAATATCAAAATTTCAAATATAGATTATTTAACAATATCGATTATCCAAAAACTAAATTTACAAGCGATTAAAACATTTTCGTTGGAGGTTTAAGAAATCCAATAAAGTCACAATACTAAGTGAGAAGATTATTCAAAAAATCACACGTAAGATTCTGAGACACCGAATGGCAGCCAGTCGAATAATATACAACTTGGGCATTCCTGATTTCGTAATGCTAAGCTCTCCTTTTGTTGCTATATTAAGCAAACACAAAGCATGACTCAATTAAGGATTGAATTTGAGGGCATGAGGCTTGTCGAAAGTATCTGAAACGATCAGTTACACCAACGTTAGTCAGTGTAACTTCAGAGCAAAAACAGAGTTTCCAATAACATATTTGAACAACAATGACTACCTTTTCTCAACCTCAAACTATTACCTCCCAGTGTTTTACCTCCTCATCTTAGCTGGGAGGTGTTCCAGGGTGTTGGGCTGCGATGTGTAACGGGGGACTCATCTCTCTGGAAGGGTCGCCCAAGCTGAGAAAGAGCCCGGCGTTTTCATCAGCAAGTTCAGTTAGGAGTAATCCAATACCAGGATCCACCACTGTCCTGGTGTTAAACTTGTTGCGTGGTGGCAAATCTCTCTCTGATCCACAAGGGCAGCGACTGCTTGTGGTGGTGACGACCTGGAGAGACTTTGGCCAAGCTGATCTCGGGATTCCAGGGAAGCACAAAGGCTAAACCAGCAAAACTCCGAAAAATGGTGGTTATGCTGGGTGCCGCGCAGTCAGTGAGGACGGGCCAATCAAGTATCAATTATCAAGTATCAAACAGTTGTTGCATTGAATTTCACCAAACCTTGTTGCTAACTGGCAATTTCTTGCAATCCAATCTGAAGGATCGGTGATGTTGAACACACGAGCGAATTTATTGATAGCTACGCACTGAAAGAATTCCTTAGCTACGGAGAAAATAAATTGAAACGGCATGAAAGAAAAACTGAGTGTACTTTGCCACCAATATAAAGAAAGGCCGAAAAAACTACCGCAACCCATTGTAAGTCGATCATTGGTAAACTTTTCGTGAGCACTGAGATTTTATAACCACAAGGATGCTGAATTATGAACAAAAATCAATACCTCGGTTGCGCTTGGAACTCATGATTACTCTTTCAGGGAAATCAAGTATTACCAATTCCAGCATCCGAGGTCTGTGTTCTACCTTTTCCTCAACCCGCTTTTACCACGACGAGTGCTATCAGCAATCACCCATCAACGGGATGGAGAGTACACATTGGCATTGAAACCAGTTTAGCTAAAGCTGTAGTCGAAATCATCGAAATTACGTTTTAGCGTTTATTTACTTCCTTCATTTCTTTTACGGTGGGGTAAAAAAGATAAAACTTTCGGCGTTGATTAATCTGTGAGGATGAGCGTTGCACTCAACTTCATCAAGCATTGTTAGAGGGGATTCAATTTGGTGAACCGGTGAAGCGAGATCAAATCAGAGACCACGTGTGTATGACAAAGCACCTCTAAGCATTGCGCTACACCCGGATTTGTAGTAGGGTGTTACGCGAAATAAAGAAGCAGATCTTAAGAGCTTTGTTCTCTAAGGTGGATGGGTAACACGTGAAACTCTGAAAGAGAAATGGCGTGTTCGTAGAACAGCTGACATTCTGAGTTTTGCTTATATCTCAGCATTCACATAACACCCTACAGTGAAAAGAGAATAGGCACTAAAAGATTGAAACGTTGAGATTTCACTTCAAGATGCTAACGGTTTTGACCATACCTGCGCAGGTCTTAATCTGTAGTGAATTCGTTCCGTCACAATTTCCTGTAACGGCGGCACAGTCGAGGTGAATTCGGCGAATTTCCGCTGCTCCTTTTCCACCGCGATTTTACGCAAACGTTCCTGAACCAAAGACCTTTAGCATTCCGTGGAAACGAAATGCACGATTAATTCAAAAGTCCTCAAAAAATTAATACATGGAAGATCTATACTCTTCAATGGGTATCTATTGTTAATTGGTTCTAACGAGAAAACTCTCTTTTGTGTGATGGAAGCACAAAGAAAGACATAAATCCCCTCAGATGCGAAGGTTATAGCGAAATAGCCCATACTTAGATTCTCTTCATTAATTTTCAATAGAGGGTCGAGACCTTTCAAAACATAAAATTTAAGAATTCTGTAATTTTCATCAATAAAGATAAGTGACGATATCGGTAGCGTTGCCGGTGTTCATTACATATTTTAATTAATGTTTTCACCTCTTCTCTTCGTTGTTGCTCCTCTAATAAATGAAGCCGTGTGACTTCTTTTTCCTTTAACCTCGCTATGCGCCGTTGTAGTTCTTCACTTCTTCTCAACAGCTCTTCTCGCAGTTTTTGATCCTTCTCGTTTGTCTGTCTCGTCGTATGAAGAAGTTGCTCTTCCCGAGAACGTTTTGCCTGGTATAGAAGAAGAGGATTACAGTTTGAAGCAAATATATGAATCAACAATATTTAGCGAACCCTGCAGCGGTTTTTCTATCAAATGCAAAAAAATTTCGACCAATGGGCGATTTCTTGAATAAAGAACCCGAGGAAGGAACTAAAATTCAAATAGGACAAAGTTTAGAGGCTATTTTCTGCACCTTGTCATATGCTCTAACGCAGTAGTCAGAGGGGCGTCGCAACACAATAATATTCACTTGGAGGCCTAATCACGCGACCCTGTTCCCGAAGCAAGCACTCCATCCTCCTGGGACTGACACATTTGTACTAAACTTATCTGAGAAATTAGAAACACTGGTGTGATATATCGGTAGCCAAGCTTTGGCCATAAAAGGCCAAATATGCACTAATTTTCTTTTCCGATGCTTAAAATGCTTGTCAAACCCCTTTTAGGTTGATCAACTCCGAAAACTTAATCCTTTTTATCCAATGTGTAGAAGTTATCTAGCTTATGGTACATTTTATAGATATCGGTGTTACAACGTATCGTAGTGCTGTGTGCTTCTCAGAACTCGTGGGAAGTGAATGGATTTTACCGCTAACTTCTAATGGCCTTGTTCTTTATTCTTTGATGTATTGAAGTTTTTTTCTCATACACCTTCCAGGATATAGCATTTTGATGTCTGCACAGATTTATTCTTAACTTATCGCAATGTTTTAGCTGCTGAAGATTGGATTACGCTGCCGACAAAATCTAGATATGTGTGGCGTGGAGATGGTTCTCCATCCCATTTCTTTGTGAAGTGGAATAAATATACATCATAAAGAAAGTGCACCGAAAACCATACTTCCAAACATTAATTTCCTATTTTCTGGGAATTGTTACTTACCCGCACTCAGTTTCTGCAACATTTTGGTAAAGTTTCTAAGTATGTTGTCCCCAGCGTCTATGCCTAGCTAAGAGGACGTGTGCATCAACAGTTATGATATGAATTCAAACAACTTGCAATAAAGGGCTTACTTGTTCGTATCGAATGCGCTGTTCGCGTATCTGCTTCTCGAAATTGTTATTCTCAGTCATCACATCGTTTTCGACTCTGCAGAATATTTTCAATATTATGAATGAGTGAACACCAATTGTAGTGATCGAACGGAATTGGGGCATGAGATTCACAAGTACAGAAAATACAACACCATTGTGTGACTTTAGCTGATCTGTAGTAAACCTTAAGTGCGGATGAATCTATTTTGAATGTTTATCTAAGATTTTCTTTATTTTTGGGAATCAAAACTGGCTAGTTGCATCTATACGTGACATTAGAAAGTGAACAACGTGTCAAACGAAACCTAGAACGGTACGTTTTTCCCTGAAAAGCAGCTGAATTCAAAAGATGTGCTTCATGACCCTGCTGTATCAGATCAACTTATATTTCCGATATACCTGCAATCATATTCATGCATATGTGCATGCGTGTACCTTCACCTATGCATATTACGTCTAACACAGAGACTCCATCAAAAGCACGTGATCAGCTAAGTAGGAAGCACACATGAGGAGGGTTAGGAATAACTCAAACAAACAACCAACACGTCTATTTTGGAGAAATTTGCTAAACTACCATTGAATAAACCAGTTGAGCTTACGACCTGTTAAAAAAGAAAGAAAAACTTTCTGAATGCGTCACACTGTGTAAAATCAATGACAAAAAAGGGCTTCATTCCTTCAGTCCCTAAAGAGCAATGATGTGGAGCCATTATGTAACTTAAGTAGGCGCAGACTGTTAGCACCTCACGAGCGTACTAATAGTAACATAATAATAATAGTAGTAATCGTAATAATGGCAACAATACTTACTTACTTACTTACTTACTTGGACGGTCCGTCTTCACGAGCTGTGCGGACCCCAACACACGTGCCATTCGTTCCTTTCTGTCACAATCGTAGTCTATGGTGGTGGTCTTGTTCGAGCATGGTAGCGCTTTCGAGTCTCATACCGTAATCTGTAAAACAACTGCAGCTGCGGGTACAGCTTTGTTTACGAACACATCTGCCCAACGTGTAGGTGGTGGTTCAAGGGAACTTTTCCATTCTCTTGGAGTCCACTGTACTGTTCTTTTCGTCCATCTGTCGTCTGTTTTTCTCATTATGTGACCGGCCCATCTATGTTTCGCTGTCGATGTATATTCTCCTGAATCTCGAAGACTTGACAGATTTCGAAGGTCACAGCTTCGCATTCCGGCTACATATCGAGAGTGCGGGTTATATGTGAGTAGTTCGAAGCATTTTTGACGTAGTTGAAGTATCAACCTACGTTTCTGCAGTATAGCAGAGCACTTGGAGGACCGTAGAATCAAAGAAATGAGCGCGGATTTTCGGGTCTTTCAGTTGGTCGGTGGCTTCTTTGAGAGGTCCGAATGCGGCCCAAGCTGCTCTCCTTCTTCTACCTAATTCCTCTTTCGTGTTGTTTTCTATGTTCATTGATCGCCCAAGGTGAACGTACGAGGTGGTCTCTACAATGAGAGAGCAATCCAATTCAATTTTTTCGCCTTCGCATCATGGGTTTTTCATGGATTGGGTCTTCTTTCGATTTATGCGAAGTCCGATCTTTCACACCGGTTCGTTGAGTTCGTTGATCATCACCTCTACTTCGCTAGTACTTCTTGAGAAGATGACAATGTCGTCGGTAAAAAGAAGGTTTGATCGGGATTTTCCATCAATACGTATCCCTTTCTCATCCCAATCGAGTGACTTCATTATCCACTGTAGTGCAGCACTGAACAGCTATGGCGATATTGTGTCGCCCTATCGAGCCCTTTTTCTAAAAGGTATTGTAAGAGGTCGAAGAAAAAGCTGTATTTTTCTAGTGCAGTTTCGATAATAGTCGGATAGAGTCGTTATGTAGGGCAGGTCCACTCCTTGGTCGACGAGCGCTGATAGAATTGCATTCGTTTCGACACTGTCAAACGCTTTCTCATAGTCGACAAAGGTTAGGAGCAGAGGCAAGTGGTATTTCCGACAAACTTCGTTGACTCTGGACACGATTTGGATGTGGTCCATGCACCAGAACCCTTTTCGAAATCCTGCTTGCTCGACTGGTTGCACCTCATCCAATGCCCCTGATATGCGCGAGAGGATATTCTTCGTGAAGAGCTTGTAGAGTACACTTAACAAGTATATGGGACGATAGTTACGAAGATGCCTTCGGTCTCCCTTCTTGGGCAGGATAACCGTGCGCGACGCTCTCCACTGGTCTGGGATTTTCTCCATTTGAAGGTAGCCTGTCATATGATCTGAGAAAAGTACCTGTAAATTGTGACCTCCGGCTCTAAGGAAAGCGGCAGTGATATTATCGGGTCCTGGAGCTGCGTCTGTTTTCATGCTTTCTATCGCAACTAGAACCTCCGACGGAAGAATTTCAGGTGGTTTTTTTCCGGCAGGGATATTAGGGCCCGGTACGGGGATTGTCGAACGGAAAAGGTTGGTGTAGAGCGTTTCCGCCGTTAATTCCATATTATGGAGGAAAGTTATGACGATGCTATATTCGTTTAACAAGACTGACAGCAAAGCGTTTTAATCACACAAGCCCCGACAGCATTTTTTCAGATCGCTTCTCTTTTCTGTTGCTTCTATTATTTTCTTCTGCTTGTACAGTTGCAGATCTTCATGCAAAGCTCTTCTGTAGCTGGTATTTATTACTAGCCATGTTAAACGCGTTGCAGCAGGATCAAGCTTCAATTCCCTTCTCTTTTCGAGCATCTTCCTAGTGGTGATGGAGATGCGATCCGATCTTCTTCCTTGAGGAACTGAGGCAAATTCGGCACAGGTCTTCAGTCCTTCGACAAGCAGCCCGTAGTCTTCGGTCGGGTCTATTCTAATCCGCCAGTCACGTTTAGACAAGACTTCGTTTAAAATGTTTTCGTCGTATGCAGCTAGACTTTTTCCTCGTCGTCGATGAAGAGAGTTCTTTTCCAGCTCGCGACTGAATCGAATCTTCGTGCCAAAAAGGTGGTGATCGAAACCAGTACAGAATGACGGGACTGCCGATGTGTCAGGTAGGCTCCAACTTCTATTTGCCACAAAATGGTCGATCTCCGCATGAGTCATGCCGATGGGAGACTCCCATGTCCAGCCGCGGGTTTCTTTCTTCCGGAAAAACGGGTTCCCATGGAACAGATGTGCTGCTGAAAGGAGTCTTGCGCGACGGTTCCCATTCTCATTTCTTTCTCCGAATCCAAAATTTCGGATTCTGTATTCGCTCTTGTTGGCCTTTCCTGTTCTGGTGTTGAAGTCTCCAACAACAAATTTATGATATGGTTTATCTTTAAGGATGACTTCCTTCAACTGATAGTAGGACGCATTTAATTCGTACTCATCAGCTGCGTTCGCCGGTGAGTAGCAGTTGATGATAGTGATCTTTTTATGGTGCGACAATTGAAGACGGAGTACGGCTATGCGAGGAAAAAGGATCGCGTATGAGTCGACGAGATGGACAATGGACGGGTGGACGACAAAGCCTACGCCACCGACATTTCGTGACGGGACCTTTTCTCCACGTATCACAAGGGTACAGTTGTTTAGTTGGCGTATTTCGGTCTTCTTGATTTTTGTTTCTTGTAATGCGAACACATGAAATTTAATGCGATCTGCGGCTACAAGAAGTGCGTGAAGATCGGCGTCTGTGGAGAGTGTTCTGTCATTATACGTGCATAGTAAGAAACAATCTCCATGGCGTGTCGTGCGTGTTTTCGTCAGATCCGGTTCCAATAATGACCTGCGCAACCCGAGATTTTCTGGCCTCTCACCGCCTGACGTCATAGACGGGAGCACCTAGTGTGCGGCATACTGAGGCTGGCCTATTGCCAGTAGTGCAACTTGCTACTCCCTGGACTCCTAGCGTAACCTTGCAAGGGCGTATCCAGGTCTTCACCACGCTGTGGACCAGAGGGAGGTGTGTTTTCGGCGACGAATTTTTCGCTCCGTCGTACTAGTTGATTCGGAGAGATGTTAAAACCGAAATCAGAAACGTAAGTAAGTATGTAAATGTAACCGACCGCTCATGGACGATGTAGAAGTCGAACGCCATTGACAATAATAATGCCAATAATATTAATAATAATGTTCGGCTAACGTAAACAATATTTTTTGCACACCTTTGGTAGTAATTTATGGATAAAATTACATAGAAAAACCTTCACAGCCAGCACCAACATCGACTGTGGTTCTGGAGGAACGTTTGAGGAACCTCATATTAAGAGATTTGAACATGAGTAAGATCTAAAGAGCGGCAGACTGCGCAAAACCACTGTGTTCACCAGCGAATCAAGCTTTTGTTTGACATTGTTCTTCTTTAGAATTAGATAAAAGGAAGAAGATAAAGCGACCCAAAGCAAAAGACAACTTTAATATCACAAATTTAGCGGTGCCTATCATAATTTTTCAGGGCAGGGCGCTTTGTGGAATGCAACCACAATGATGCTGAGATATTTGCAAGACTCCGGATAACAAATGTCTGCGGCGGTGATCGAACACGCTATTACCCATTCCGGGAGCTAAAATTTTCACTAAAACGTTATGCGGGTCCTTCGTTTCGACTTTCTCTCAGCTACTTTCAATTTAGTAATGTCATCAGCAATCACTCGTCAACGGGATTGATCTGAGGATCACAAATCGGTGCATTAAACACATTTTAGCCCAGTCGAAATAACAATGACCTCGCGTTCTGCAAGTATCTCAGCATCATTGTGGCTGCAATTTAAAAATAGTTATAAAGTCGCACCTTCCACTTTTTTCTGCTTGTTTTTAATGAGATATCAGCATCATTGATGAAAAATGTGCTTCTTTGGTTTTATTCTTGTTCGGCATTCCCGCAAAAACCGAAGGGTTGAAAGCTCTTTCTTTTTCTAGACGCTTTGTGCTGAAACGGTCACGAAAAGGCTGCAAGCAATACTTCCACGTGCTTGACCTTCTGAAGATCTAAAAGAACTAGCGAGAAATTATAAGGAGAGGAAAGGCGTTGATTTGGATTAAGCCAGAGAAAACGAGGAAGGCAAATTCGATTCCTCTTGAGAAATTGCGACGATATGATTGCTTAACGATACCGTGAAAGTCAATCAAACAGAAAATGAGAAGAGTCAACGACGACAAGTTCGACTTCGGATACTTCTACAGGTCCTTACATTTACCTTTATATCATACATGGGCAGATGAACGGTCATTTTTTCTGTTCTTATGACCAACTCAGAATCAAAACTGTTCGACTGAAGAACCTATTGATAGTCTCCAGGAAATCGGGTTGGATTTCTAGTCAATAAAAAACCAACGACACTATTTTGTCAAATAAGAAGAGACAATAGACGAGAGAAGGACTTTGAATCAAATAATATGTAAATGGTCTTGCAAGGCTCTCATAACCGCTAATTTGCTAAGTTGCTGGGTCCTTCCTCATCTCAAATTAACTTGGTTTTAAGTTAACCAATCAAAGAAAATTTCATCGTTCTTTAGCAGCGTCATTATTTGTGTACAGAGATTGGTCTGAAGAAAATAAGAAGAGATTTTATAGGAATAGGTATTGGCTAGGTGAAAAGAACGCATGCTGGTTGATTTTGAAAGTACATGTGGAAAGATTGCCCTTGGAATGAATTTGAAGAAAACGATGTTTGTATGAAACGGATTAGGTTGTGATCTATCACGTGCTCAGCAAAACATCGTTGAAGCCATTTATTTTCCGGAACATTTTGCTAAATCACCCATCTCTTTGTCCACCATTTTGTTTTCGCTATTCTATTCTAACTGGATCTCGAAAACCTGAATGTTATCTACGCAAGTTGAATTACACATTCATTTCTCTCATATCCTTTGATATCGCGTTTTATATAAGTAAAGAAGCGAATCATGTGTCCCAATCTATGCTGAGTGAACAAAGACGGTACAGTGGGTGGCGGACTGGATAAAAGATGACAACAGCCAGTGGACCGAAGTCAGTAGCAAATCAGATTAACGACATATTGCAATAGAAGGACTAGGGACACAAGGATAAGGATTCTTCATAAAGGTTGCATGGTTTAAAAAATATGGTTCTTTTATGTTTGTTGAGCGAGAGGAACCACTGTGCAACTCTAGCTTCCGATTGTAATAAATGGTTCACCTCTTAGCATGTGTTGATATCATTTTATGAACAGTTGAGAAGTAGATACAGGTGACTATATGGACTATTCGACCACTTTGATATCTTAATGAATCGGAAAGAGTTTTACTGAATATATCGATTAATCATAATATCAATACGCCATATAAATAAGCTGATTTTGAAAGTGTTAGTTAGTTAAGAGAAGAGAATGCTCAAAGGTGAAGGTGAACTTTTGAACGGTAAGCAAGTGAAGAACTTTAGGCTAAAATTCAATTCGATGAATGTTCGAATGTACTGTAGTTGTCTGCTTGGCTAACAGTAAACTTTGGAGCAGCTTGAGAAAAGTATTTGATGCCCTTGCACGCCCTAAGGTCACTTTAACTTGAGGGAAGGGAAACCCTTCTGCTGTATATTTCCCTACGTTGCTACTGTGTAAGACAGAGAAATCGGTCGAAAACTCAGTCAAAGACAAACATTTTTTCTTGAAACTGTTCCACTCATCAAAATATTAATGAAACATTGAGATGGTTTTAAAAGCTTCAAAGTTAATTTTGAGCTCATTTATAACTCTGCCAGGATTTTGCACAGTAAAAGTGAGGAAAAAAGACGAACCTTCTGACTTTTGCTCTAGTAGTGAGTTGAATCGGATAAAGTGAAGTTTCTTGCCTAAATTTTATATGATATGCATGGTTTCTGGGAAAAGGAAATAACCATGAAACACCGAACATCATGAAGAGAGCTCACATGGTGCTTGAACTTGTAGTCGTTGTTGTCCTTTGCGATATACCTCGAATCATATCATTTATTATGGAAGAGAGAATGTTGATTTTTTCCACAGATTGTCTGCTATAATAAAAAGAACTAATCGTTTTTGGAACTAATCCGAGCGTTTCGACCGCTTAAAAACTTACATCATGAAAGGAACTGAACTGTTATTACTCGACGAGCCATGTGTTAGAGCATTTGCTTCTGTAGAAAAAGAGAAGCTATGTTACAACCACGTTACAAGAATGTTACTTTTAACTCATGCAGTTAAAAATTTAATTTATAGATTCTTTATGTTGGAGAGTTTATTTGCTCAAAAGAAAAATTGTTCCGTTGCTAAAATGGTAGTGAAGCACAGAAGTTTGGCTTGGCTTCTCTTGCGAGAAGGCAGCGGTCTTAGTAGAGTTCTGATTCACTTATCTTATTTCGTTAAATTCACTATATAAGTCACATAGTTAGCGAAAAAGTGGAAAATTGGATCGCATAAGTGGAGCAAAATTTTGTTGAGTAGAAATACTATTCGTAAGTGTTTGCGTAGTCGTTCACTGTCACTAAGCTCAGACAATGATTCGTTATGGTTCTCGCTAGCTAAACAAAAAAAATTTTCCACATTTCTTTCTCGACTAGCTTTGCTTCATCTAATTGGTTTGACTTGTTATAAAACAGCTGCAATAATTTTATTCATAACCCTTACCGTGTACAGATTCGCGCTGGCCGCTTGGTTCTAATAGTTCCTCTGATGACACAACCTCTTTAGAAATAAGAAACCCGCCAACTGTCTCAACATCTCCAGCTCCACTGCTTGTTAATTCTGGCATTCTTAAAGTAGAGACAGTGATGTTTCTTAAAAAAGCCATCGAATTCACGAATTTTTTGATCACCGACAAGTTTGATGACTTCTTGGAATCAAGAGTAACTTCCGTGGCAACCTTTGAAGCAGTGTGTTGAATATTTCTTGTCCTACTTTGTGGAGTTAAAAGTGAAGTGCTTGTCGTAAGATTCTCTGCAAGGGACTGAATTTGAGTCGACGCCTTGACGTTTGCTTCAGTTAAAGTGATTTTTGAATTTAACGACGGATTTAGTGCCGATTTATCTGACGAATTCTTTTTGGATAATACGGAATCGGTTTGCATTTTAACATCTTTAAATGACTGTTTACTCATTTGAATTGTTGTTGTTGAAGTCACTAAATCGGATAAACTAGAGTTTCCTGAAAACGAACTACCTAAACTTTTAGGAAAATTGCCTGCCAAGTTCGTGATTGTCGCAGTGCTGGAAATAGTACCACTTTTGGGTCCCTCGCTTTGAGCGCGCCTATCATCGGTTTTCGTCGGTTCTTTTGCCGCTTGAACTATCCCAACAATAGATGTCGCCGAACTTGCAGTTGTTTCCTTTGTGGAAGATAGAAATCTTGTCCCTAACTTTGTAGTCGAAGGCTTTCCAACCATTTTGTTGATTTCATCTTCAGTAGTAAATATTCCTTCCAAGAATTGTTGCCGAGAGCTAGAAAGTGGGTCAGCAAAATGCCTAGTTGATAGTCTCATTGGTTTATCAGTTTCAGCGTTTTCATGATTCGGAACGTCGTGATGGGTGCTAGGTGGTTTCGTAGGAGTCGACGACACAATTAGCGTGTGATTCAGAGGAGAATTCCGCACCTTTAGCGCTTCTAACTTCTTCTTCAGTTGAAGAACGAGTTGTTTCCATCTCTCTGGAAGACCACGTGATAGTTCGACCTTCTTCATAAGGACCGAGTAAGAAGCTGAAAAGCAACAAATTGAAGCAAATGGAATACAACTGAATAGTATTTATAGAATGCCGCAGAAAGCACTTTGTAATGAATGTCAGTGCTTTTCCAGGTTAAAGTTTTCTAATTCATACTTCTAGTCCATAAAAAGAAACAGATTCAATCAAGGAATTCTCACCTGCAGAGCTAGTTGTTGTACCGCCCGCTGCAGCGGTTGCAGAGGTGGCTTCTAATGCAACTGCATGTTTAGCTGAGTCTATCGAATTTTTCATCATGGTGTTACCTTTTCTTCTTTGTCCATTCTGTGCGTTTGCGGACTCAATGGTTAAGTGCGTAGTCGCCTTTGTAGGCGACGATTTGTTTGAAAAGGATATCGGGTCGCGAGATGTTTCGGTGGTTGTCTGCATGATTGATGGAATAGTTGACCCACCAGCTGTTTTAGTGGTAGGCTGAGTGGTCAGTAAACTGTCAAGCACGAAGTTCGATTCAGTGAATGTTTTGTGAGATGGATGTGTCGATAGCGGTGTGCTTGGAACGGTTATCCATTCATGAGTTGTTTCACTTGCTGCTTGTGTAGTCGATGTAGTGGTAAATTGTTCTGCAGCTGTTTTATTCCCTATCTGAGTAGTCTGATGCGCTGTTAATACGGACGTCGAGTGAGTATGGGGCTCAGATGTGGTACTTGTCCGGGTAGTTGATGTTGTCGGTGTATGGTTTTTATTTTCAAAATCTTCATGAGCCTTTTGCAATGATGAATTACTTGAATGAACGTCTGTAGGATTAACTAAAATTTCTTCAGTGAAAATAGTCACTTCCGTTGTTAGTGTTGAAGACGTATCTTTTTTTAAAGAAGCCAATCTTTTCGTAACCGATGCAGTAGTAATTGTTTGCTTTCCTTTTCGTAAAGAGCTGTCGGAAATTTTAAATGTATCTTTCAGAGTGTTAAAGTTCATCACAGTGGGTGAATTCGCATAATTAGTCGACCGAGTAGTTATTTCTAAGCCTTTCGGTTTTCCTCGGTCTAGTGTTTTAGTGGTTCGTCCAGTATTTCCATTTGTGATTTTAGAGAACTCCGAACTTCTTTCTTGGGTAACTGTTCTCTGTATCATGCGTGTGGTAGAAGACAATGGAAACAGTGATGAGGTGTTTCGCAGTTGAGTGCGTTCTTTCCTAATAGATTTAACAGCGTCAATTGAATTCAGTAATCCCGATGGGAAAGACTTCAACAATGTTGTAGAATTTAGCGTTTTTGTAGATGGTGCAAGCTTGGTTGTAGTTGCAGTGGTTTCATAAAGCTGGAATTCGGAGAAGGTTGAAGGCGATAAAATGCTTGAGGTATTCGTGGCTCCATTTGGACTGCCAGTTACCTCAACAGTGGATGTGTGTGCCATAAGGGTTGATTCTTTCGATAAAATTGTTGTGTCTGATGAACGTGGGATTTCTGTGGGCGAAGCGATGCTTTGCACATCATTAAAAGCGAAACCCTTAGTTTTGCCAGTTTCTGAACGTACTAAAGTCCTTGACGGCCTTGACGTGTGCGATATAGCCTTGCTTGTTGCTGCCACTTTAGCTGATTGAGTAGTAAATTCAGTTAGCTCTTGAACCATTGACGCTTTCAGTCTCTTTTCCTCTTTCACGGCACTGCCGTCGATTTCATCACTTTCCGGAGAAGTCGGTACTTTTGCGGAACGTCTATCAAATAGATCCATGTTCTCCGGAACGCAACGACATTGACAAAGGCATGTGTTGTGTTTTATTTGCTTCGCGATGCGGAATTCTAAAAAGAAAAAACCTTTGAAGAAAAACGGTAACAGGCAAAAAATTCGCCATTTTATGAAATAAATTCTTTTCATCGTCTTCAAATAGACTTCTTGATTTTAGCGCTATGGATACCTTCGAGGAACTAGGAGACTCATTCGTTTTCTTCTTAAGTAAGTAGACAGTTACATACACTGGCTGCTAAGTGTACGCAGAGCGAATTCAGTAAGTGAAAAACCGATACACTAGACAAAATTTATGTGTTGAGCTAAATTATCGAACTACTTTCAGTTATTGTTATATGCCTAGAGTGATTTGCAAGCGCTACATTATCCCTTAAAGAAATATCATCTTTTGTTGAAGCTCGATTAAAAAAAGATTATAAGTCCGACCTTTACTTCCATCAGAGTTAATCGTCTTACTCAACAGACCGCTGGCATTGATTAATGAAATCAGTGGAAGTAACCAGCAAAGCACAAGTAACCTCATTCGATTCAATCTAAAGAATGAAATTTTACTAGTTTCGATCACATTCATGGACATTCTCCACAGAAAAATGAAAATCCTACGATCCAGCTTAAAATATTAAGGTGAATAACAGAAAGTAGTTAGAGTGGAAATGTAATTATTAAGGTACAGAAGCATAACTGTGATAGTAACATTATGAATTGGTCGTGAATTTTCATTAAGTACTGGTGTTCACTGAAATCGTTGGAAATTCTTATCATGAAAGAGGAATGAAGTATGTCAATTGTTTGCTAGCAAAAGTAAAATCACATACAAGAGAACGTGTACACATGCATAGTAATGGCTAGAGGTGCCCTCCAATACACACGTGATCGTTCGTTACATCACAAGTCTTGTTCTCACCAGCCTTCCATCTTACTCGTGGGAGAGTTAATATACTACTGTGTCAAAGAAGGAAGACCTCACAGTGGCTCTAGAATTTAATTCCCAGGAAAACACTAAAAATACCACGTACATCGTTCCACCTTCTCAAGAACGAAAGAAAACGAAAAAATGCTTTCAGTGATGCTGAGATATTTGCAAAACTCCGTAGCGCAGGTGTCTGAGGTGGGGAACGAACGCGCTATTATCCTTTCTGGGGAGTAACGCGTTCACCACCACACTATCCGGGTCCTTCGTCTCGCCTGTCTCTCAGCTAGTTCTATCGATCTTTTGCCGTCAGCAATCACCCGTCAACGGGATTGATCTGGAGGCCCCAAATCGGCAACGAACCCAGTTAAGCTGAGGCTGTAGTTATAATCAAAAACCCCATTAAAAAGAGTAGGCAGTAAATAGTAAGTTAAAATTGAAAAAATGATTGTTATAATCATCTTTACCACTGTCAGAACCATTATCATGATGAAATTGGAAACATGGTAACTTAAGACAAGATTTAAAGGCTGAATAAAAAAAATTAAGAAGGAGGAAAAATGAATTAAGTCTACTGCGAGCCAAAGTGGAAGGCGAAGGCTACGAAATAAAATCGTATCAAGGTTAAGGTCAAGGAAAATGTCAAACTTCATTGTCAAATAGCAGAAAACACCGGAAAACGTAAACGACGCCATAAGTAAAATACCCGGAAGATGCTTTTGCTCTAATTGGATAGTGAAAAACAAAGTGGATTATCGAGGGATGGAAGTTAACCACTACTTATTGTTACAGAGTTTGCAGTGAGAAAGACTTACATAACCACTGAAATCTGTTCGCGATACGATGTAATGTTTTCGTTTTTGAAGAAACTCCAGGCTAAAAGTAATATAGGCTAACTAGGTGTTATCTTATGCTGACAATTTAAACGAAAGTAATTTTGCAACCAAAAAAAATTGTCTTTTAATTTCGTCGTAGGAGCGATTTTTCAAACCGGGCGAATCAAAAATCAAGTGAAAGTTTTCCATACCGAGTATTGGTTCTTGGCGCAATTGAGTATTGCCAATTATTAATGTAAATGAATTTAACTACTAAAGCAATGCAGCTTCATCATCCTTCTGTTTGCTATGATTCTTTATAAAAACAAAATTTTAGCGAGGATGTTACTGGAATCTAAAGCTCACGAACGCACTCAAAACTCCAAGGGAGGAGTAACTCACAAGAACGAAGAGGAGCCATCATTCTTAGACATTTTTGATACTTTTCACTGGTGTCTGAAGGATAAACGTGAACTTTCGTAGGTTAGAATAGTTGGTATTTCATTGAGAGGAAAAGAATACAAGCGAAAAAAATGATTGAATGCAGTAATGAAAAGATGTAACAGTGAAAAAAAGTTGATTTTTTAACAATCGTAGTCTGAAAAAGAGATTTTTGAGGAAAAAAAAGGAAAACATGTTGAAAGAATTGTGATGGTAGTTTGCCTAGAGTTAAATTCAACTACGAAGATTGTACGAATAATGGTTCAAAGTTGCTTAAAAATTGTTCAGAAATTAACATTTTCACGAAAAATGTTGAAAGATCCGGATAACTTTGAAAGTTAAAGAAATGAGAAACAATTTAATACAAATAATCGGAGCGAACTTACAAGTTACCGAAAATTCAAGAGCTTGTGCTTGGGAGCTGGAGGTTCCTTTGTTGCACGACTTTCCACTGTGCCGTGAAAGTATTCCAAAGAAAGAGCTCATTAGAAGAGACGTTGAGAAGCAATGTAGAACTTCGAATGTTCGCGATTTCTAATGTAAATGCTCTCAGCAACCATGAACTGGTAGAAATGCGAAGTGTTAGTGCAAAGTTTGTTGCAATTTACATAAAAAAATTCTTAACCACTTACTAAAATATAACTCAAAGTGGAAAGAAATTACTCGCAATCTACTTGTTCACAGAAAAAATGCTGCGTTGGATTGAGTGAATAATTGCCACAATTTAACTATCTTTGATTGAAAATCAGTAGATAAATCGCTTTCGCTGTGTGTTTGTAAAATACACAAAGTTATTTTAGCAAATAGTATTTTTACACGTGATCTGATACCAGATGCATCACACAGCGGAATTCTGTAATTTCTGCACTCGATCCGCTTCCTTCCATACATTTTTCAGGTGTACTTTCCGATATTGAGCTCGGCTCCGCTTGAGGATTGTTATCTTCTTTATGTATGTCGTTGAATGCATTGCTCCCAGACAGGACTAATTTATCGACCCTGTGTGAAGAGAGACTCATTCCGGAGCGTAGTTGAACCAAAACCGTTCTTGTGATGAACGGCGTCACTACCACTATACTACTTATCTTCTTTACTATAGTAAATAAAC